TGACCTAGCCAAAATTTGTGTTTTTATTGCAGCTTTGACAAATATCAGTTATTGTTAATATGGATGACGCGCTTCCTCGTGATTTATGAATAAAAATGAACACTGCCCCCGTTTCGTTACTTTTCAATTCGTTTTGAGGAAAATATACTTTGTGAGAGGATAAACGTGAATGCCCCTCCGAGTGAGTGAGTGAGTTTGGTTTTACGCCGCTTTTAGCAATATTCCAGCAATATCACGGCGGGGACACCAGAAATGGGCTTCACACATTGTACCCATGTCGGGAATTGAACCCGGGTCTTCGGCACGACGAAGCGAACGCTTTAACCACTAGGCTACCCGACCGCCATAAAAAACAACAATTGAGGATACCTCCCGTAAAGTTTTGTTTTTTGTGTGATGGTCTGTAAATAATTGAGTCTGGATCAGACAGTCCAGTGATTAACATAATTAACATCGATCTACGCAATTGGGAAACGATGACATGCATCAACCAAGTAAGCAGCCAGTCCACCCGATCCCCTTAGTCGCCTCTAACGACAAGCAATGTCGCCTCTTGCGACAAACATGGGTTGAGGAAGACCTATTCTCACCCGGGTCTTCACGGGTATCTGGAGCGGTCGGGTAGCCTAGTGGTTAAAGCGTTCGCTCGTCACGCCGAAGACCCGGGTTCGAATCCCGACATGGGTACAATGTGTGAAGCCCATTTCCGGTGTCCCCCGCCGTGATATTGCTGGAATATTGCTAAAAGCGGCGTTAAACCAAACTCACTCACTCACTCACGGGTATCTTCCGCAAAGATAGACATCGAGTCATACAGAAAGGCGGAAGACCTGAAGTAACACGTGGCCTGATTAGGCCACACTGGAAATCCTGTACGACACACGTCAGAAGTATAACATATTGATTGAAAATATCTCCCAAACCAAATTATCTACTGGGGTAAAGATGTTAGTGTCCAATGTTTTCCTTACACAAAGACTTCACTCAAATGACCACTAGCCACCGTAAATTCCCTCAAGCAATGTGCGCATAACCATGAATTTGCTTGATGCTCAGTCACCATGCATGTCGTTTAATGCAAGCAAACTTTAAAACTGATTTTACCCAAAATTGAAAACGTTATCAAAACGTTACTAGGCTGATGACAGTCGCCGTGCAAACTTAATGTCCAAACCACAACCTAGACACCCGTGTCATTTCGCTATCGACTAACCATATTTTGTTTGTTAAGTTCTATCAAACATGGGTGTGTATTTTCTTTTGACCGCTAGCTTATTACGTCAGGCTCGCTGACTTGGTTGATGCATGTCATCGATCCCAATTGCGTAGATCGATGTTCATGAGGTATATCACTGGATTGTCTGGTCCAGACTCGATTATTTACAGACCGCCGTGATATAGCTGGAATATTGCTGAGTGCGGCGTAAAACAACAAACCAAACCAAAACAAATAACCTACATGTAGTGGAATTGTAGTGCAGTACTATCGCAAAGCATTTGTAACTGTCTCAATACTATTGCAATAGAACAAGCTGTCCTCGAAAGTCTCCTATCCATTCGTCCTGCTGCTGAGGACAGTCAGGTTAGGAGTGACCATGGCAATGGTATCCTACATTGACAGGTAACAATGCACTTTGACGCTGAGTAATCCCTGATTACCTCAATCGATGACCAATCAATAGATCAGTTCATATTTCCTGATCACTTACTTGCCAGGAGCAGATATTAACGTGAAATGGGTTCAAGGTGTAGACTTAATATTGTTGGTTCGTAGAGGTGAAGCATTGATAATTGATTTAAGCGACGTCTTTTTTCGGAAGCATTGTGAAACATTATCTGGAATATCAGCAACTTTTTATATTGTTCAAGACTGTGCCACTTATTTAGTATCTGATTCCGCATAACACAAGACTTGTGTTCATGTTGCAGTCATCAAATCTATTACAGAGGTGTGGCTGTGCGTGCATGTGTGCGTGCGTGTGACCACACAATCTGTTGATTGATATGAAGAACGATCCACGCGGTCGGGGTACGATGCAAGATTATTACACTTATATACCGACGTGCAATGACGTGTGTGTGTGTGTGTGTGTGGGGGGGGGGGGGGGGGGGGGGGTTGTTGATACCATGCCTCTGTTTAACATGAATACCCCACTCAGACAGACACAGTTTACTGACTCCGAGCAAACCGGTCCTAGTTTTAGCCAGGCAGGGTATCAACTAGTACAAACGTTTACCGTCTTTGGGTATGACGCGGGCCGGAATCAAACCCCCGACCTTCCGCTCTCCCGACAGACTCACTACCACTAGACCACGGAGGCGGTCCAATTGATAATGAAGGCGGCATAATTATATTGGTGGAAATGTTTAATACACCCTGTCGTTTCTGTGCTCTGTGGCAATGTCTGAAATAACCGATTCGAGGTGGAAGAGAAATGAAGCCAAATTGTTTTAGAAAGCTGACATCTGATTGGCTCGTCAGATCTTAACGCATATCGTGTCAGAGTAAAAGATCAGATTTTAATAAGATTTTGATACTCCTGTGCGATACCCCTCATTTTATCATCTAATCATCAGTGTCGAGGCTTCTAAATTCTCGGCAGCAGCGTGCGAAACGCACAGGGCAGTGGAACCGACGCTTCCTTCTTGGAGCGTTTGTCAGATCTTGACGCAGGATAGAGTTACATCGGAGTACGATATCTGATTATAATGAGACTCCAACCTACCGTGTGTCATCGTACCTCGACGGTTCTCCTAAATACTCATACTATTAGCCACTAGTTTGCCTGGTCTAAACTCGATTATTTACCAATATTGCCGTGATATAGTTTAAATAGTTGCTCAATTTTATAAAAAAAACAATAATGTTCTATAAACAAAATCGGTTATGACATACATTTGCACGACATATTCTATGATTATTAATGAAAAATGGAAAAGATCATTTGGCTCTAATGTTGTTTACAATGACGAGACTCAGTATTACCCAACCAAGCAACATTTGTTCAGAGTCCACAGATCCCCTGTTTACTGTAAATCATGAAATTAATGCGTCTCCAAAAGAATGCGACTGCTGGCCCCTAGCCAAAAATGCGACTCAATATGAATGCGACACCCCGAATTTTGAATCTTTATAATAATACATACATATGTTTATGTTTACGCCTAATGGCGTGGCCTGTCCACAACATATTTATCACTAGATAGTGTAGGTCAGACTCGACGCTTTACAGATCGCTGTCATATAGCTGGCGCTAAACAACAAACAAAAACCCAAGCATTTTAACCACAAATGCGTATATCACATGACGAAGGTGAAAAAGGATTAATTTTAAACTATTGTCACAATCTAAACAGATTCATATGTTTTTTAACAGATCTCAGTGAGACCAACCTTTCTGCTGCAAGTTCTCGACACCACTTCCGGGAGCCCAGCAAGGTCACTTCCGGTCACTCTTTACGAGCAGACGACAAAGAAGGGTTGGGAGGTAGCGGAAGAAGGGTGAAACGTTTACTCCATCGCTTCGTAATAGTTTCTGCAGCTGAACACGCTCAACTTCCATTGAAACTAACCCCCTCCTCTCAAGCATCAGTGGATTTATATATAAAGAAAATGTCTTCTGTCAGGTTTACAGGAGAATTCTCACCTCAATATTGTTTACAGTGCTCTAATGTTGTTTACAATGACGAAACTCATTATTACCCAACCAACATTTGTTCAGAAACCATGGGGAGTCCACAGATATCCTGATTACTAGTATATAATGATTAGGTGATCTTGTAAGTACCAGGGGCACGAACGCAGTTCTCAAAATAAAATCATACAACATGGGTTGAATGTTATTTTTTCTATTCAGAACCAGAAAGATAAACATACTCACCACCTTAGCATGATAAGCAATCATCGTTACCGTTATCTTAAATCTAACAATATATATGACATGGCAAGGTGATTTGTTCAGTTAAAGTAATTGCTCCCTGACAAAGGCTTTATTGGGCAAGAGCAAGGCTTGAGCAAACCTGGGTCTATATCCTTGTCCGTCAGAGCATGCCGACTGCAGATTATAAGAACATTTAGCGGTTGAAACATACACTTGAACACGAAACTCTGAACAGAAAATCAACTTGACATTATTCATATTTTTGGCCCATGGGAGGACGGGGGTTGGCATATTTTACACACTGATGTTTTTTAATCAACAAATGTTCACAAGGAAATTGTTGCTTAATCCCACCACCCATTGGCCAACATCTACATTCACATAACAGTGCATTTGCTGCGAAACCGACTTTTGAATCTATATAATTTACATACAGTAAACTATGGTTATAACGAACACGCTTATAACGAACTGACGGATTTAACGAACTTACTTTTTTGGTCCCGACTATTTGCTGTAGTTATGCTGAATATATGCTTATAACGAACTACGGTTATAACGAACTAAAATTAGTAGTCCCTTTGAGTTCGTTATAACCATACTGTACATATGTTTAGATTTATATATAATTTTTCATATATTCATAATATAATATTTTTTTAATTTGAAATTTGGACTTGTCTCCAGTGAATTCTGAAAAAGTGTCATGTTTGACATGGGACAAATTTAGTACATGCACCCACACCACACACCCTCCACCGAACCTGTTTTCTAGCGTATTTATAAGTTCACAGCCAGCTGTTTGTATTTGTGCATGAAGTATGCTACCGACGAGCACTTAAACAAGTACAGAAAGTCCGGACCAATAGACCTTATATTAATAAATCACCCGCAGCATTCCGAGTCCAGACCGTATCACGAAAACGACCCTGTCGCGAGACCGACCTATTAAAGAAACCCTATATTTGAGAATGTCAAATATTTGAACATGTTAATTGACATTGTTAGCGAAGGGCCTTACGTAAACTCCGCCACGCCGTCCCACAACGTGGTGTTTACATCGGCGCTGCCTCGCCTTTATCAACATCGATAGCTATTGAATGGTCCATATCAAACAGTTATCGCATTAGTCACTGCCGGTATTATGGCTCTTGGAGCAGGTGAGATAAAAATCGAACTTGCTGAGAGCTACTTGTGTAGGTCGTAATAAACACTTTGCACGAGAGGACGTCGTGATTTACTGATTTGGGGATAATTCGGTGAGAAAATGAGCGTTTGTTGTTCTGACGCCGCTGTTCAGGTGGAACCGGTTTCCGACAGCAAGTCAGGAGGGAAAATGAAGACATTCACTTCGCATGTGAGTATGTCAGTTACAAGTTAGTGTCTCTCTGTTATAAAGACATATCTACAATGCATAGTATGTGGTAGACATAGAGATTCTCATGATCACCCGAGTGTCTTTTGATATCAAATATATCAACACTCGTTGATAAAAGTGGAAAAACTCTGAGGCTTGAGATTTTTCACTTTTATCAACGAGTGTTGATATATTTGATATCAAAAGACACGAGGGTGAGATTTTATTTATCATCCAACATCATTCTTCCAACTTTTTATAGTTTGTATACAGTAATAAGCAGTGTCTTAAGTGTAAAAAGTACTGCTAACAGCTTCAGTAGCAGAGACATTAGTGTTGTCATTTGATTGTGACGTCATGTATCAATGACGTCACAATGGTCTGCAAAGCATTGTGATGCATATTTCATTGCAGCGATATCTACAATGTAGATATCGTTTGATCTCACCCAAGCGATATCTCCTGTGGGAGCCAGTTTTGGAGGATAAATTTCCTTAAACACACAACACCGTTGAAATATTGAAACTTCTGTCCGGTTGATGTACACGGGAATAACCATGGTATTACCCATCAGACCCTGTATATCCGGATTGTCAATCGGATTTGGTCGTGCTATACAATCGGAGCATCATTGGTTAACCTTACCAACAGTAGTTTGATGGTAAATCGACAATAGCCAGGCCATGCATTACAAATACAAGATGTATAACGTTTTTAAAAGCACGGGTGGTGAGTGGGTGATTGAATGAATGAGTGAAGGAGGGAGTGTGCTGCTTTTATCATCCAACATCATTCTTCCATCTTTTTCAGTTTGTAGACAATAATAAGCAGTGTCTCAAGTGTAAAAAGTACTGTTAACAGCTTCAGTAGCAGAGCCATTAGTGTTGTCATTTGATTGTGACGTCATGGTAACAATGACGTCACAATGGTCTGCAAAGCATTGTGATGCAATTTCATTGCAGCGATATCTACATTGTAGATATCGTTTGATCTCACCCAAGCGATATCTCCTGTGGGAGCCAGTTTTGGATGATAAATAGAGAATCTCAGCTTCGTGTCTTTTGATATCAAATATATCAACACAAGTTGATAAAAGTGGGAAAACTCCCAGGCTTGCTGAGGATTTTTTCCACTTTTCTCAATGAGTGTTGATATATTTGATATCAAAAGACACGAGGGTGAGATTTTATTTATCATCCAACATCATTCTTCCATCTTTTTCAGTTTGTACACAGTAATAAGCAGTGTCTTAAGTGTAAAAAGTACTGTTAACAGCTTCAGTTGCAGAGCAATTAGTGATGTCATTTGATTGTGAAGTCATGGTGACCAATGACATCACAATGGTCTGCAAAGCATTGTGATGACATTTCATTGCAGCGATCTCTGCAATGTAGATATCGTTTGATCTCACCCAAGCGATATCTCCTGTGGGAGCCAGTTTTGGAGGATAAATTTCCTTAAACACACAATACCGTTGAAATATTGAAATTTCTGTCCGGTTGATGTACACGGGAATAACCGTGGTATTACCCATCAGACCCTGTATATCCGGATTGTCATTCGGATTTGGTCGTGCTATACAATCGGAGCATCATTGGTTAACCTTACCAACAGTAGTTTGATGGTAAATCGACAATAGCCAGGCCATGCATTACAAATACCCGATGTGTAACGTTTTTAAAAGCATGGGAGGTGAGTGGGTGATTGAAAGAGTGAGTGAAGGAGGGAGTGTGCTGCTTTCAGTAGTAACACGGCGGAGTACCGCAGTAAAAGGGTTTACACATAGTACTCATGCAGGCTCCAACTTGGATCTTCAGGTCTTTTACGCTGATCGGAAGTGACGATCAAATGGACCAAGTGGTCAGGCTTGATGGCTTGGTTGATAGCGCGCCCTTGTACCTAAAGGCGTGGACTGTTCACACACTATCTATCACTAGATAGTGTAGGTCAGACTCGATCCTTTACAGGTCGCCGTCATATAGCTGGCGCTAAACAACAAACAAATACCCAAACATTTTAACCACAAATACGTATATCATATGACGAAGGTGAAATAGGATTTACACTATTGTCACAATCTAAACAGATTCATATGTTTTTTAACAGATCTCAGTGAGACCAACCTTTCTGCTGCAAGTTCTTGACACCACTTCCGGGAGCCCAGGAAGGTCACTTCCGGTCACTCTTTACGAGCAGACGACAAAGAAGGGATGGGAGGTAGCGGAAGAAGGGTGAAACGTTTACTCCGTCGCTTCGTAATAGTTTCTGCAGCTGAACGTGTTGATCTGGAATGTGTTTTTATTTCCATCTAAACTAACCCTGTGTGGGATCATGGTTAGAAAAAACTTTTAAGATTTGATTGTTTGTTGTTTAACGCCGCACTTAGGAATATTCCAGCTACATGAGCATCGATCTAGGCAATTGCGAAACGATGACATGCATCAACCAAGTCACCGAGTCTGACCACCCTATCCCGTTAGTCGCCTCTCACGACAAGCATAGTCGCCTTTTACGGCAAGAATGGGTTACTGAAGACCTATTCTGCCCCGGATCTTCACGGGTCTGCTTGTAAGAAGCAACTGAATGGATGGGTTGCATCGTACACCCACGGCGTGGGAAGATGGCCATTATATCAACCACTAGTTCGTCTGCGTCGACTTATACAGGTTGTCGTGATATAGCTGTAATATTACTGACTGTGAACGGACAATCAAGCACTTCTACTACATGTAACATCCGTGGAAATCGGCCCAAACATGCGTCACTGTATAAACTGTAACGTGTTTGCTCAATTTGTTTCAATCGGATCTTAATGCTCGCCACCCCTACCTTGTTTCAGGTTTAGCCAATATTAAAAATATGTGTATGGTGCCATGTGTATAGTTTTTAATTTCTTTGAGGCCAATATTGTAATTAGTCAACTGCAATCGGGTTTTACATACGGTGATTCGACAGGGTTCTACCAAGGAGTTTATATCAATTAATTGCCAAAGCTTTAGATCAAGGTGAGGAGGTTGGAATGTGTTTTGTGACATAAGTAAGGAATTTGATCAGGTATGACATAAACTGCCGGGCTAAAGAAAGTGTACACCCATGATGGTGGATGAACATGAAACAAACAAGATTTGGTTTTTCGATGATGAAGTATTTGATGCGGGTATCATAGTTGTATTTGGTCCATAAGGATGAAGTGTTTCGGCAACTGTTTTCAGCCTACGGTATAATAACGTTTTTATCTTTTGGTCAAATCCAATTTTCAAGTTGAAACTTCTTTTCCACGGCAGTTGATAAGACTGAGTCTGAGTATGGTTTTACGCCGCTTTTAGCAATATTCCAGCAATATCACGGCGGGGGACACCAGAAATGGGCTTCACACATTGTACCCATGTCGGGAATCGAACCCGGGTCTTCGGCGTGGCGAGCGAACGCTTTAACCACTAGGCTACCCGACCGCCCCAGTTGATAAGAACGTCATTGATGCACACAGCATATGAGAAAATTGCAGCATCAAGCGTAACTCAATGATAACGAGACTGCTGAAGATGAAGGGATCACGGCTTATACTGATGAAGTGTACTTCCTGTCCCCAGATGTACCCTGGATGATGGACAAATGAAGCTGCTGAAGGGTCGGAGCTTGACCCCGGGGGGTCGCTACAAACTTCATCTCGACACCGGAAGCTATTTCTCACAGAAAGGGGGACAACCAATTTGTCCTTTCATTGAGGTAAGTTCAGATCATCCTGGATCCTGCAATAAGTAGCCCACGTACCACTGGTGTCCAATGTATGCTGTTTGCCCGAGACGAATGTGACGTACTAGTTAAAGGTAGGAATCTTGCTCTACCAGCAGCAAGCATCGGACGAAAGAATTCCTTTTCAGGACCTGCCCTCTTCCCGAGGCAAGGTAGTTAACTGACTACAAGTCCAGTTTTAACTCCCTTGCCTCGGGAAGATTGCACCCGTCAGAAGGACAACATTATGATTGAATGCATCATGCGAAAGAAATATTCTTTTAGGTCGTGGTTCGTTCCACAAAACCTACACCCAAGCCTTTCGTAAAATGAGGGTTTGATGACTGCCTGTAACACAGAAGACTATCTTAAATACTCGGATGCGTCGAATTACCGATTGTCTCGAACTCATTTGGGAGACCCGAGTATCCAAATTAGCATAAACTTACCCTGATGTCTCGAACCCCAGATAATGCCATGATGTAACTGAAATACCGTTCAAAACAGCGTTAACCGAAACCCGCACACGATGATGTACGATACTTGCTACATTCGCACAGATGTGGACCCGTGAAGATCCGAGTTAGCGTAGGTCTTCAGCTTCAGCAACCAATGCTTGCTGTAAGAGGCGACTATGCTTATCCTAAGAAGCGACTAATGGGATCGGGTGGTCAGACTCGCTGACAGCTGCGTAGATCGATATCTGATATTAATCACTGGATTGTCTGGTCTAGACTCGATTTTTGTACAGACCACCGTCATATAGCTGGAATATTGCTGAGTGCAGCGTTCAACAACAAAACAAACAACAAATCACACAGATGTGACTTCAGAGAGATCCATAATTTCGATCAAAGCTTTATATACTGCTTCCTCACTACGAGTTGGGTTGAACGTTGTTTTGAACACTCAGTATTTCAAGTTTATCTCCGCCAACTGAGACACGTGGTCAAATGGTAATGCATTTCGTTTTGGATGCCAGCATGGGCAGTATCATACTGTGTGAGTTCCGCCATTGCGTTGGGATGGGTTTAAGACTCCTGAGAACAGTATTTCCTTGATATCAGAGCGTGTTACCTTAATGTAAGAGGATATCCTAAAACGTTCGCCCGTCACGCCGTAACCCGGGTTCGAATCCCGACATGGGTACGTACAATGAAGGCCATTTCTGGTGTCGCCCGCCGTGATATTGCTGGAGTATTGCTAAAAGCGGCGTAAAAACCATACTCACTCACTCACCACCATGGTCCGTGGTAGAATAGGTCTTCAGCAACTCATGCCTGCTGTAAAAGGCGACCATGCTTATCCTAAGAGGCGACAAACGGATTTCAGCTACATGACGGCGGCCTGTAGTCTGGACCAGAAAATCCAGTGATTGACATCGTGAGCATCGATCCAGGCAATTGGGATAAGGTGACGGATGAAAGAAAGTTTGTGTGATGTTTCGTAACGGTGATGAAAAGAAGCTTTGTCACCGAGATCCTAAGACCAAAGCTGAATTATTTAATTTACCAATCTCATACCCCTAATAAGTTTCGGACCCCCTTCAGCTGGGAAGATTATAGCCCCAGTATTCGAAGGGATTGTTATTGGAGGATTATCTGCTCCGAAAACTAGAATGAAATAAAGCAATACTCAAGCGAAAGGGCCGTAGACACAAAAGGTTCTACTACTTCACGACAATGCTCCAGTTCACAAGTCCAGATCTACAGAGGCTAACATACATGTATGAGGGAATATGGCTTTAGTTAGACAATCCCTCCTACAGCCCAGACCTTGCCCCAAGTGAGTGAGTGAGTGAGTCAATGTGCATTTTGAAAGTACAAATATTACCTTCTTGACTTTTTGTAAGAATAATATTTTCTCTTATCTAATTAGTGAGTGAGTGAGTATGGTTTTACGCCGCTTTTAGCAATAGCCAGCAATATCACAGGGGGGGGGGACACCAGAAATGGGCTTCACACATTGTACCCATGTCGGGAATCGAACCCGGGTCTTCGGCGTGACGAGCTAACGCTTTAACCACTAGGCTACCCGACCGCCCCTATTGCAATCGGTAATTGCATTGAAGCAAGTTCAAGAATAAATCAGCACTACTAGTTTCAAAGTTTAACATGTAGACGTAAATACCTGCTTCTTGGCATTGGTGTATGATTCTCAGAAAAACACATGAATGTTTTTAAGCTTACAAATTACATCATACATCATTTATAGACTGTCATGATTCTTTCATTCACAGCTGGGCCTACAGACTCCACCCGACTGCCAGAACCTTCATGTGTCCGTCCATATTGGTCTCCATGGTTACACCACGTATATCGGAACGTAGTCAAATACAGGGATGTGGCAGCTGATGTATATACCTACCCATAATGTAGATGTCGATATACCCTTGTAAATTCTCACTGCCAAATGTACACGCAAAGGGTTGCGTGGTATGAAACTTAACGTATCTCAGAAATTGTCCTCGGAAGCTGATTTTGTACTAAATGTTTTTTTAATAAATCAAATGTGTCAAATGAAATTATTTTGTGAGAAAATGTGGTTTAAGCATCTCAACATTCAGCCACTATCACAGCACGGTACATCAGAAAAAACACTTAGGCTAACCCACCGCCGGGAGCACGGGTGGTCCAGTCGTCTAAGGCGCCGCGATTCGCTGTGCAGAGTTGCGTCCCTTGGACACGCCAGAAACCTATGATTGTGGGTTCGTATCCCGGTTCGCCCCAATTATGTTTCTAGGTTTGTCAGCACCATACCCGTGCTCGTGGGTTTCACCGAAGTGGTAAACGTCTGAGACCTGCATCACTTCGGGCTTTCCTTCCACATTAAGCTGACATGCTGTGATATAACTGGAATAATGTTAAAAAGCGGTGTTAAATCCAACTCACTCACTCACTCACTAACCCACCCCCTTGTTTGAATTGACGCCTTCTGCTAAAAGACACCATGCGAGACAATGATGCTCAGTATGATGTCTCAATAAGTCGTGAGCTGACAGTCAGCGGGTGAACGTTGTTTCATAGAATAAATAACGTGTTTTGAAGCAATGACGGAAAATATGTCCTGCCTCTAACAGTAATCCCAGGCACATCCTGAATATTAAATGATGGATCCCTTATACCTTATTTCAGTTACATCACAGTATATACGCAATCTTGTTACAGTTGTGTAGCGAGAGTGTCCACAAAGATCTGATTTTATTGAACGCTACAGTTCATACAGTGACGCATATTTTGGACGATTTCCACAGCTGTTACATACAGTAGAGACCCCTGAAGATCCATGGTAGAATAGGTCATCAGCAACTCGTGCTTGCTGTAAAAGGCGGCTATGCTTGTCCTAAATGGCTACTAACGGATTCCTGCTATATGACAGCGGTCTGTACATATTCGAGTCTGGACCAGAAAACCCAGTGATTGGCATCATGAGCATCGATCCAGGCAATTGGGATGACATGCATCAATCAAGTCATCGAGCCTGACCACCCGATCCCCTTAGTCGCCTCTTAAAACAAGCATAGTCGCCTTTTACAGCAAGCATGGACTGCTGAAGACCTATTCTACCCAGGATCTTCACAGTAGGAAGCAAAATGTGCCTTACATAGATTAATGGGGACCAATTTTAACCTGTGTTCTCCAAGAGGAAGAGTTTGATTATTCAAACATTCTTACAAGTCGTCAGTTAATTTCAAACACATTTTTATTCATACAGAATATAAGAAAACATGAAAAGAATATAATTAAATACTGGTAAACGTGTACAGATGAACTCTGTGATGCCACTCGGGAAATTTCATTTTTCAAACAATGACATATAATAATCTATTCATATCATCAAACTCTCAAGCTAAAACAGAATATGATGTCTGACAGTTCAGAATAAGCAACAATGTGTTAGGCACTTCACTGCTTACCAAACCTGAACATTTGCATAAACATCCCCAAAATAGCATTGTACTTGGGAATATAATCCCTTCGTGTTAAGTATATCATTCAAAACAAATTGTTTGCAACATGTAACAGAAACAATAACTTCATAAAACGAACACCAAACACACTTCCATGATAATGATTGGTTGGTTGGTTGGTTGGTTGTTTTACCCCGCACACAATATTGAATGAAATATTCCAGCTATATGACGGCGGTCTGTACATAAACGAGTCTGGACCAGGCAATCCAGTGATTGATATCATGAACACCGATCATAGCAATTGGGATCAATGACATGCTTCAACCAAGTCAGCGAGCCTGACCACCCGACCACCCGATCCCGTTAGTCGCCTCTTACCTGTGATAATGAAATGTCATGTTTTCAATGTGAAATGCGTCTGTGTCTAAACCAAATAAATCAAACTATTTGTTTGGACCACAGGACTTCGATAAAGGATTTGACAGCATATTTCTTACATCTATAGCCTATAAAACTCAACAAATATATATTCATGTAGTCAACAGGACCCAGTGAAACAGTATTATCCCTCAGAATAATTGCCAGAGAAGTGTCAAACATCAGTTCGAAACAATACAAGCCATAATACAGCAAAATAATAAAATTGGTCTGGTCTTATTTGTAAAATAAATTAAATGAATTTATATCATACTTGTTTCCTTCTCTGTGAAGAGACTAAACAAAAAAGATCTTGACATGTTAAAAGACTCCTTACCATGCGAACAGAACATAACAGAACAAAACGTTCACTCAGGAGACCACCATTGGTTTATATGATTATGTTTAAAAATGGTAAAGCATACATCCTGACAGTCCTTAAAAGTTTAAATTGCAAAAACGGACAACTTTTCATCACTCATCTAATTTGGAAAAAAGCAGAGTCACACATCTGATAGATACAAACAATGGATAACAAAGAAAACTTTCGGCAAGGCTAAACAATTCCTCCCGAACTGGTGTGACTCTTTGAATCCTGTCTGTCAGTCATTGTTATTGCCAATAGAAAAATAGTTGTCAATTTTCCTCTATAAGCATATTGAGAATCTCACCCGAGTGTCCTTGGATATCAAATAAATCAATAAGTGATGATTTTATTTATCATCCAACGTCATTCTTCCAACTTTTTCAGTTTGTAGACAGTAATAAGCAGCGTCTTAAACGTAGAAAGTACTGCTAACAGCTTCAGCAGCAGAGCCATTAGTGATGTCATTTGATTGTGACGTCATGGTTTGCAAGGCATTGTGATGCAATTTCATTGCAGGATATCTAAAATGTAGATATCGCTTGATCTCACCCAAGCCCTATCTCCTGTGGGAGCCAGTTTTGGCTGATAAACTTTGTTATGAAATAAAATACTTGACAACTGACATTGTGTTCAAGGGACGAGTTCAATGTGTGCCCAGGGTGCCCTTGTACAAAGCGATCTTAGCGCTAAGGTGATCGTAACTCCCATACCTTAACACAGACAGACTTACGACAGTCTTAGTGCTAAGGTTGTTTTGTACAACGACACCCAGTTTTGTTTATTGGCACTCTTGGTGGGGACAAAAACATACAGAAAAAAGTTCTACAAGCCAAATGACTTTTAAGACAAGTGTGCCTGAGAAACATTAAAAAAGGTCAGGCAGCCTAATTGTTCAAATAGCAGGTAGCTATTCCAACCCAGCCAGGTCCAACCCTGTGCACCACAGCCAGGTCCAACCCTGTGTACCATAGCCAGGTCCAACCCTGTGAGCCATAGCCAGGTCCAACCCTGTATACCATAGCCAGGTCCAACCCTGTGTACCATAGCCAGGTCCAACCCTGTGTACCATAGCCAGGTCCAACCCTGTGCACCATTGCCAGGTCAACCCTGTGCACCACAGCCAGGTCCAACCCTGTGTACCATTGCCAGGTCCAACCCTGTGTACCATAGCCAGGTCCAACCCTGTGTACCATTGCCAGGTCCAACCCTGTGTACCATAGCCAGGTCCAACCCTGTGTACCATAGCCAGGTCCAACCCTGTGTACCATTGCCAGGTCCAACCCTGTGTACCATAGCCAGGTCCAACCCTGTGTACCATAGCCAGGTCCAACCCTGTGAGCCATAGCCAGGTCCAACCCTGTGAGCCATGGCCAGGTCCAACCCTATGTACCATAGCCAGGGCCAACCTTGTGAGCCATAGCCAGGTCCAACCCTGTGATCCATGTAAATATTGGAACCAAAGATGAAGAAAAATAACAAGCCATTTAACTTAATCTGCACAATTCATTCAAAGACTGAACATGCTTAAAATGTTCAGCCAAATCAATATTAACCAACCTTCAATCACCCTTCAACTGACATGACCCTGTTTTCAAGCAATATTCCCATTTCAAAATGCAAGTTAATCAAAAGATATCAGCAAATAATAAACAAACTTGAAAGTGAAAAGCAACTTAAATGAAAGTTATTATGAGGACAAACTTCAAAGAAACTTTAAGACTTAAAAAAATAAAAGAATTGGTTCTCAGGCAATGTTTTTTGAAAATATAGTGCAGGCAGGCATGGGTTTTTTTCCCCTTTTTTGTTGTTGAAACTAGTAGGTTACCAAATAAACAGATGTGTAACCAAATAAGCAGTTGTGCACAACCAACCTTGGAAAGAGCCTGGCCTTCCCTACATAAATATATTCCTTGATTAGTAAAATACTTAAATACAGTATTTGACTACTGTTGGACTTAAGGATTTCTTTTTTGTTTTTAAAAATGGAAATAAAAACAAAACGTGCAGCCAACTTTATGATGATGCGGGCAGGGCCTGAGAACCAAGACTATTTTTTTTTTTAGCCTAAAATGATAACAATGCTGAAATAAAAATATATTTTAAAGAATACATATCATTAAGTCAGGATGTTCCTTTTCATATCACTTTAATGCTTTAATCCTCCTTACAGTACAACATCCTTCCCACGCCAGTACACACACCAACCATCACCTCAACCAACCATCACTCACACACACCATCATCACTCACACACACCATCACCACACACACACCATCACTCACACACACCATCACCACAACCAACCATCACCTCAACCAACCATCACTCATACTCACCATCATCACTCACACCAACCATCACTCACACACACCATCACTTACACACACCATCACCTCAACCAACCATCACTCACACACACCATCATCACTTACACACACCATCACTCACACACACCATCACCTCACACCATCATCACTCACACACACCATCACCTCAACCAACCATCAACCACACACACCATCACCTCAACCAACCATCAACCACACACACCATCACCACAAACTCACACCATCATCACTCACACACACCATCACCTCAACCAACCATCTCTCACACACACCATCACCACAACCAACCATCACTCACACACACCATCACTCACACACACCATCCACAAACCAGCAGTAGCCATGATCCAGTGAACCATGTGTTCACCATATCTTGGAGAAGCTGGAGTACAGGTGCTATTTTTTGTCCTTTTTCTAAGGGCAAGATAAACCAGTTGAAATCTGTTGATCCTGTCTTCAGTGTACTGCCAACACAGAGGGATCATAAACATACAGCTGTCAACCTCACCATAGCAACAGCTCTCAACCTCACCATAGCAACAGCTCTCAACCTCACCATAGCAACAGCTGACAAAGTCACTACAGCAACAGCTGTCAACCTCACCATAGCAACAGCTCTCAACCTCACCATAGCAACAGCTGACAAAGTCACTACAGCAACAGCATGCAACCTCACAATAGAAACAGCTCTCAACCTCACCATAGCAACAGCTGACAACATCACTATAGCAACAGCTTGCAACCTCACAGGTCTCGACCTCACCATAGCAACAGCTCTCAACCTCACCATAGCAACAGCTGACATCACTATAGCAACAGCTTGCAACCTCACAATAGCAACAACTCTCAACCTCACCATAGCAACAGCTGACAACATCACTATAGCAACAGCTTGCAACCTCACAACAGCAACAGCTCGCAACATCACAACCGCAATAGCTCTGAGTACCAAAAGTTTGGGGTAGTTCCATATGTAATGCAGATATCAAAAGATTTGAGTGATTTCTCCTACTAAAACAATGTTACGGTTGATATAGCATTTCTCAATACTTTTGCATAATGACCTACAGTTGTGTCAGGTGTACTTGTTAAAATGCACATTCAGAATGGCCAGTATATTCCTGGATCAGAATCAACTGCAACAACAATATTGTGACTTCATTGTAACCTTCATTCTGTACCCACAGAATAATCCCGGTTCTCATATCAATTAATGAACTGATGAATCACTGAATCTGCACATGATCTTTCTGTTTGTTATAAAGCAATATTCATATGTCGCTCACCAAGAAAGTTATATCTCCACACATTACACCAGCCATGATAAATATGTGGAGAACTGAAATATTGAAATATCATCAATAAGATTTCCTTCCAAAAACCACATAGTATCACTTACACAAACATAAACACGATTGGTTCTCAAGCAGGACACTGAAACACTGGTGCAAGATCATAGGCTTCTGGCAGCCCCAAGGGAAGCAACTCTGCACATCAAATTGCAATACATAGGGATGGCAGGTTCACCCATGCTCCCCAGTCAATGAATAAACTAAAAATCACGTTTATTAACATGTGGAATGTGTTAAAAAACATTCAACTCACAGTTGTGAATATATTCCACAACTTGAAATAGTGGGAGGCCTCCATGTTTGATAAGGAGAATTCTGAACAAGTAGACATTTTCGACTCCACTTAATAGACTTCAACTGTATATTGGAAACCATTCACAATGTGTTCAATAACTAACGAAAATTGCCAAGATAGGGCAAAACAGTCACTTTTATACACTGTAATTCAAATGCCAAATATATACCAAAAAATCACAGAAGTCGTCAAGGCAGACATAGCAACAAGGCACAACATATACAGAAAATAGTCAAAAATAGCATGGGAATGTCAGTCCACATATCATTTCTTCATATGAACCTTTCCAGGATATTGAAGGCTTTATCACACTTCCAATGGTACAATTCTGCAACAACAATCACTGCACCGGAATGACCTTTAACATCACAGGACGGAATTATGTTTGTAACCATGGTAACTGTAAAACTGAACATTGAGATAAGTGAATATTGGTGTATGAATGTGTCTGGAATTAATATCTCATAAATTATACACAATTACTCTTAATAATGAAACCTCAATTTTGTTCTTGTTGAACAGGATTAAAAATTGAAATAATTTCATAGTTCTAATAAAAGTTAGGGAAGGACCATTTAATACTTTAAGTATTTTCTGGAACAAATTACTGGTAAGATTTTTAAAAATCACAATTCCCCCAAGATTATCAAATGTTCAGCCCCAAACACTCTAAATATAGAAAGTTCTATTAGGAACACATACAACTGATATTTATTTAAAACATTTCCAAGTCTCAAAAAATAATAAATATTCGATATGATTATTTCTTTGCAAGAAAGTTAATCAAATTACTTATTCTTGAAACACTGAATTAAAAGTGATAACAGGATTTTTTAGCATAAACAAAAACATGTCTCGCATTTATCAAACTGATAGTATCAATTATTCTCAAAAATTAACATACCCCCATGGGGGTATTCATAATTTCATAACAGATCACTTCCACACTTCACAACAGATGGAGAAGTAATCAGTATTGAGCAAGAGAATTGTGGTTACTCTCATGTTGGTTTTTTTCTTAAAGAGAGGTGGGAGTCATTTAATATTCGTTTGAAATTTCAAAAATAAACTGTTCAAGGAATCTGTGTACATTAATTTTCGACAGATCCGATTCACATGAAGTGCGAATAGTTGGTAGACTATGCATATGGACTATTTCATCAAGTCAACAAGTTCAGGGAATGCAAATAGTGAGTGTAAGTAATTTATTATGGTGGGGGCTGTCAGGTAGCCTAGTGGTCAAAGCGTTCGCTTGTCACGCCGAAGACCCTGGTTCGATTCCCGACATGGGTACAATGTGTGAAGCCCATTTCTGGTGTCCCCCGCTGTGATATTGCTGGCTATTGCTAAAAGCGGCGTAAAACCATACTCACTCACTCACTAATTAGATAAGAGAAAATATTATTCTTACAAAAAGTCAAGAAGGTAATATTTGTACTTTCAAAATGCACATTGACACTGTTCCAACCCATGAATATCACAGATATGGACACAACCTCAAAGCACTTATTTATATGCCATGCAGTCTTTGATCGAAATGTTCCTCTCAACAGGCAGCAAATGGGTGAGGATGTAGATGAGATGGTCATGTGACTGTTGAATCTTCCAGCACCGTACAGGCAGCATTGGTTGCATACTCCCCATGGAGCTGAGAATGCAATGGGACTGCACGCTGATCCACTGACCAGGGTAACAATGTCAGTGTACTGGACATGATGTTATTGTTGTTGTTTTGTTATTGTTATTATCATGCTTCATACTTCTGTTTATTTTATGATAAGATAACATTTCGTTAATCAAAGCTTTTTCAAAGCAGTTGAAAATATTCAACCAATTGGTTACAAGGCAACAGAAACTATTGAGGGTAGGGAGCCTCTTTCGTATGCTACAAAATGTAAGATACAGTCAAGTCTCGTTAATCCGACACTCGTTAATCCGACACTCGTTAATCCAACAATCGACTTTATCCGACACTAATGATGGGAATCGATTAAATCAGTGCTACTGAGACCAGTTAATCAGTCAGTCTCGCACTCCGACTCCGACACATGTAATTTGCAACGAATTACCGAAATTACTCATTAATCAGTCTCTTTAATAGGACACAGTGATCAGCGTACTCCGTGGTCATCTGCCCGCGAGTGCACAGCCTGTGTTCTGATGCGAGACGAATCGGCTGGTAGCTGCATATTACCTACCTACCTGACCTACCAATGAAATGACTAACAGGAAGTCAATGTTAGCCACTTAGAAAGCAGCTTTCTAAGCTTTGCGGTACCAGTTTCAAAGTTGCGAGTTCCATCCCAGAATATGCTTTTTAAAATATTTTGAATAAGTCATACAGTCCGTAATAGTTGTTTTGTATTTAACTTAAGAGGTTGCATTATTAGAAAACATATTACGCTAACAATGTAACATAACAATATGGATATTTATTTTATGTTTTTTTATTGCATGTTTGAATCGTTATCTATCCTGTACCGGGTAGCTGTCTGATTTTCGATCAAGAACGTTGATACTGCTTAATTTGGTTTATCCGACATAATCGTTAATCCGACATAATCATATGCAACCATCGATGTCGTATTAACGGGACTTGACTATATTTCACTTGAAATGCCAGCATGACAGGTAGGTTTGATGAATGATGTTGTCATGTTTGAGAATCTTCACCATGTTTCAGAGAAACTGTTCTCAAAATATTTGCTTTGAAAGACAATGTAATGAGAAGCAGTGCATGTCTTATGACAAAAGACACATACTTCAATAAATACATCTTCCAAAGGCAAGAGAGTTAACTGACTTGAAAAGTCCAATTTCCACCTTGCCGAACTAGGCTGGAATTCCTGGGCTTGATTAAAGCGCCACCAGTGGCTGTTATGAGTTATGTCCCTTCTATGCCTCTCCTATGGACCAATCAGATTCCACCTCTCGTATCACTTGCATTTGCTTCAAACAAAATGGCGGCGCCCAGACAAGACGATCTGATCGACAATCAACGGGTCTTACATCGAAAGGTGTGTCAAATCTTGTGAGCACCTTGATTAAAAACTTGAAAAGATTTGTACAGTGTACATGCTGTGCAAATCATGCAATTGACCGAAATCTGCACGACAGTTTACGAACTGGATTTCTATTTCGGTGCGCGATTGTGATTGGACTATGCATAGATTCGTTAGTCCAGCCAAAATGTAACTCCATAATACCAGCCTAGTTCGGCAAGGGTGGAAACTGGACTTTTAAAGTCAGTTAACTCTCTTGCCTCGGGAAGATGTAATAAATATTGCTGAACAGTTGAACAGCCACAAGTGTTAACACAGGTCTATCTTGCCTCTAGTCAGGCATGATCAGAAGCATTAAACAACCAAGGCCAAACAAATAGATAACTGTTTCTTCATTGACATGCATTTGAATTATAGGCAGGCGAGTGTTCTCCTTTTGCTTGACACTTATGAAGGTTGCTCCCAATTGGGAGATAAATATGCTGTATTCACAGCTAGGATACCTATAGATTTAACCATTTGAAAGCTAACGGGCAGCATGAAGTTTAAAATAACAAAATAATGTGGCTAAATGTACACAGATCTGATAACTTAGTTCTGATGATACAACAGTACCAGTGAATGGACTGACACTCTGCAGCGCAAGAAATAGTTCCATCAGAACACCAGAAACAGTTATATTTTTGCTTTAGCCTAGCATATATCTCTGATCTATTTTATATCACTCGGACTGATGTACATACGTAATAAATATTCCATAACAACTTTTGATCTCTTAAATTGAATATTGCTTGGTGTTTCGTTTTCTTCAGATGAAAGGGAAACATTTCATGTTTCCTTTGATGTTTCCTCAGAACAGCATTCTGATGAACAAAATCTGTCTCAGAAAAGAGTTCGGCAAGTTTGTTGAGAATCAACTCAAAGCTGAGAGCTCCACCACCCACGGATGTCCATAGGAGTGAAGTCTGTCGGTGGTCTTCATGTAAACTGTGGAGTAGGACACTGGGGAGCTGCTTCAAGTGGCTCACGTCTTCAACTAGTTCAGGAGAGGATCTCTTTCTCCACTAAGGTCTTGAAGGTGGATGTCATTCTGGAAAGAATATCAAGAAATGTCATCTAATACATTGGACTAAAAAGTATGTGACAGAGTGTGAGTTCTTAGAAACATGTCACACCAATGTAGGGGTTTGCTTCGCCATACAAAGAAGCAGAATATCTTACAAATGACATCTAGTGACCTTGACCTTGAATGAAGGTCACTCAAAACCTTCTTAACTCCATTCCCCACCCTAAGGATGAGATGGATCATATTTCATTCTCCTGTAGGAAACATTTTGAGGATAACCTATCAGCAAGGAGGAAGTTTGGATTATCTGTCCAGAGGGAATTAATTCGGAAGTTCCAAGCCTTCGTGCGATAATTCATAATTCTGAATAGCCAATTATTTTTAATATAACCATCTTTTTTCTGAGATAATGAACAAAATGTGGGTTTCCTGAACTCAAATGGAGGCATAAGCTCAGTTACTTTATTGTTTGAACAATGTCACATAAAATCGTCATGAACAACAAATGCGTTCTGACCGTTCATCTTCAAATATTCGCAACAATGCATTCATGTGATAATCTTGGGTATGGGCCTGTTCACAAACAATGAAAACAATGGGACAACTCTTATAATGCGAAGTGTAAATTACAGAAAATGATTTGACCTATATCCATGCAAGAGGCAAGAGAGTGAACTGACTTTAAAGTCCAGTTTCCGCCCTTGCCGAACTAGGCCATCTTCCTGGGGCAAGAGAGTTAACTGACTTTAAAGTCCAGTTTCCGCCCTTGCCGAACTAGGCCATCTTCCTGAGGCAAGAGAGTTAACTGACTTTAAAGTCCTGTTTCCGCCCTTGCCGAACTAGGCCATCTTCCTGAGGCAAGAGAATGAACTGACTTTAAAGTCCAGTTTCCATCCTTGCCAAACTAGGCCATCTTCCTGGGGCAAGAGAGTTAGTTAACTGACCCTTGCCATACTAGGCTGGAATTCCAGGGCTCAATCGTAGAGCCATCAGTGGTTATTATGAGTTATGTCCCTTCTGAGCCTCTCCTATGGACCAATCCGATTCCATCACTTGCATTTGTTTTTAAAAAAATGGCGGTGCCAAGTCGACAGAATCTGATCGATAATCAAGATCTATATTGTGATATAACGCGTCTTACAAGGCGAAGTGCAACAAATCACCTTGATCAAAAACATAAAAAGGTTTGGAAAATATCTGTTGACAACGAGTTGGCGGTGCACATGCTTTGCAAATCCTGCAATCGACAGAAATCTGCACGACAGTTTACGAACCGGATTTCGATTTTGGTGCGCGATTTTGATTTGACTATGCATAGATTCATTTGTACAGCCAAAATGTAACTCCATAATACCAGCCTAGTTCGGCAAGGGTGGTAACTGGACTGTTATAGTCAGTGAACTCTCTTGCCTCGGGAATATGATATCCATGCCCTTATGGGTAATAACAAATGTCATGGTAATATAAAACATCTTTGTGTCATCTCTCACAATAAATGGGAGGTGATATGTCAAGGCTTCATTCTTTCCTTGGAATCCTAACAGGCCCAAAAGTTTGTAACGAGACAGTATGGAATGTTGCTCTTAATATCAACCACTGGTTTGCCTGGTCCAGGATCGGTTCTTTACAGGCCACAGTGATTTAGATGTAATAATGCTGACTATCTCATTTATAAAACAACAAACAAGCTCATATCTCTATTTGTCATCGTAAGAGGCGACTAACGGGATCGAATGGTCAGGCTCACTAACCTGGTTGACTTATGTCTGTTCTAGCACTACAGTCACTTTGGTGTGTAGTTTTTGATTATTTCCAGATGGAATTGTGGCAATGTAACCCATGCCCTACCCAGTTATTGCTTGATAAGGATACTAGCATTGGTACCGAAAAGTCACATTGAAAAATAAAGAAGTTGAAACGATGACCCTCCCTTCATTGACACTACATCTATAGGCCACTTAAAGACTCTATTAGCTTGAATAACACCGGACCTGTGAAGATCTGGGGTAGAATAGGTCTTCAGCTACCCATGCTTGCCGTAAAAGGCGACTATGCTTGTCGTATGAGGCGACTAACGGGATCGGGTGGTCAGGCTCGCTGACTTGGTTGATGCATGTCATCGATCCCAATTGCGTAGGTTGATGCTCATGATGTACATCACTGGATTGTCAGACTTGATTACTTACAGACCACCGTCATATAAATGGAACATTGCCGAGTGCAGCATTAAACAACAATAAAAGAAAGGTTTATCTCCTAACTGCCCTGTGTACTCACATTCCCACACATGGTTCTCCGGATGAAGATGACGATGACGCAGATCAGGATGAAGGCTCCCAAAGTAATCAAGCCATACTGCACAGCCTCTGTGATTTTGATTGGTTCTTGGACTTTGTCTCGGAACTTCCTTGCAGTTTTATCATCAATAGCAGCACTCTGCAATTTCAGTTATTTCATTATTTATCATTTACAGAATGAGTGAGTGAGTGAGTATGGTTTTACGCCGCTTTTAGCAATATCACGGCAGGGGACACCAGAAATGGGCTTCACACATTGTACCCATGTCGGGAATCGAACCTGGGTCTTCGGCGTGACAAGCGAACGCTTTAACCACTAGGCTACCCGACCGCCCCCATTTACAGAATGAGACAGATTAGCAGTAGCAGACCATCTGCAGGACATTCAGCGATAGAGAATGAGTGAGTGAGTGACTTTGGTTTTGTATCCGCATAAGGTGGGATGAAAGCAAGAAGTGATGCAGGTCTTAACGTTTACCACTCTGGTGAAACCCACAAGGACGAGGATGTTGCTGATAAACCTATTACTATAATCAGGTCAAATCTGGGAAGCGTTTCTGTGCAATGCAACTCTGTACAGCAAATTGTGGAACCTAAGATGGCTGGGCCAAAAGTGTCCCCTCAAGATAGAGTATTAACTGCTAAATATATAAAAAATCAATTATTTAAATTATTGCAAGGCATATTCATTTTACTTTTCACTTAAAACATTTCTGGTCAGCAAAATGAAAAAGAACACTGCTTTTCATTTATATACTTCACATTTTTTGGAGTCGGCAAATTTTTTAACAAAATGATTTAAAAAGTCTGACCTTATGTGATTAATATGATTTAATTAATATGAAACAAAATGGAGGTAACAATACCTCGTTGATCCAGAGAATAGGTAGGAACACAGGCGTTATCTTCTCTGTCTCTCTGTAAAAGAAAACACAGACAGTATTAAATCATGTTCCACCTCCCCCACAGCAACCTGTCAAGTGTAATCAGGTCATCGACAATACTTCACGGGTTTGAATAGATGACATTTCTCCATCACACATGATTTGCAGTGTAGTTGCTGTATTTAACCACCGAATCAAGTGCCCGACCAATCAGCACTCAGATGATGTCGGCATTATTTCTCATAAGGCAGAGTGAGTGAGTGAGTGAGTGAGTATGGTTTTACGCCGCTTTTAGCAATATTCCAGCAATATCACGGCGGGAGACACCAGAACCTCATAAGGAAGAGAATATATGGATGTCAGCTTCATTATTATGAGGAACACAACGTTTCAGAGTATATGCTTACTCCTTCATCATCAGGTGAATATTTCTCATGCAGAAAGTGCCACAGCCTTGTGACTTCCTTCTCTACACATCACTTCAAACTTGAGGGTGTCAATGATTGATTTTCGTCAATCTAGCATTGACAACCCCATATGGGCTCATCTTCCCGAAGTAAGGGAGCTAACTGACTGTAAAAGTCCAGTTTCCACCCTTGCCAGACGGGGCTGGAATTTCTGGGTTGGTTGGTTGGTTGTTGTTTAACGCCACACTCAGCAATATTCCAGCTATATGACGGCAGTCTGTAAATAATCGAGTTTGGACCAGACAATCCAAGGATTGATATCATTAGCATCAATCCATGCAATTGAGATCGATGACATGTATCAACCAAGTCAGCGAGCCTGACCACCCGATCCCGTTAGTCGCCTCTTACGACAAGCATAATCACCTTTTACGGCAAGCATGGGTTGCTGAAGACCTATTCTACCCCGGAATCTTCATGGGTCTGGAATTTCTTGGGTTGATTGTAGCACCACCAGTGACTATTACGAGTTATGTCCCTTCTATGTCACTCCATTTTATTCCACCTTTCATATCACAAAATATATTGCAAAATCAATATTGTACTAAAAAGGGTCTTACTTCGCTAAGTTCATCTAATCACGTGAGTACCTTGATTGAAAACATGAAAAGATTTGAAAAATATCTGTCAATGCCCAGTTGACGGTACACATGCCTTGCGATTCATGCAGTTGACCGAAATCTGCACGTTGAAATCCATGTTGTTTACAAACCGAATGTCTAGTACAGATTTTGATTGGACTGTGCATAGTGTAGTCATGGTCGTAGTTACATAATACAAGTAATTTCTACTGGGCGCAGGGACTGACAGCCCTTGAATAAGCCAGTCCAGCCACATTTCATGGATCAAAGGGACAGTTGACCACTGGCTAGCCAAAAGGACAGATCCCGACTTACTTGATATGCCTGACTGGCTCCACATAGACGTTGATCTGAAGTTTCTTGGCCACATTCATGGCTACCCCTGTCATCTGGAGGACAACAGAATGTAACAGGTGTTATCATTGTTTGTTTGTTTGTTTGTTTGTTGTTTAACGCCGCACTCAGCAATATTCCAGCTAATAATCCAGTCTGGACCAGACAATCCAGTGATTGACATCATGAGCATCAATCCACGCAGTTGGGATCGATTACATGCATCAACCAAGTCAGCGAGCCTGACCACCTAATAATACGACAAGCATAGTCGCCTTTTACGGAAAGCATGGGTAGCTGAAGACCTATTCTACCCCGGATCTTCAAGCTAATAGAGTCTTCAAGTGGTATATAGAAGATGCAGTGTCAATGAAGGTAGGGTTATCATTTCAACTTCCAAAACTTTCAATGTGACATTTCGGTACCGATGCTAGTATCCTTATCAAGCAAAGACTGGGGAGGGCATGGGTTACATAGCCACAATTACATTTGGAAATCATCAGAACTACATACCAAAGTGACTGTAGTGCTAGAACAGATATAAGTCTAAGATGTGATCATATAGTATAGGGGGATGGGCCAGAGGGAATCACGGGAGGGTCACCCAAACATGAAACATAAGGGGTGAGGTGAAATGGGGTTTAACGTGGCGCCCAAGATTATCACGCTTATATAGCAAAGTGCATGCACGTGTGTGTGTGTGTGGCTGCTTGTACTAGTCCTGACTGATGCCGATTTATAGTGCTAGCCCACTGAGGTACCATGCCTCAGTTTAGCATGAATACCCCACTCAGACACAGGATCCTGACCCGTGTCCTTGTTTTAGCTCCTTAATGCCCAGCGCCAGACAGGGTAACAAAAAGTGTCAACTTTTGACGTCTTTTGGTATGACGCGGCCGGGGATCGAACCCCGGACCTACCACGCTCTGGACGGACGCTCTACCACTAGACCACGGAGGCGGTCTCACCCAAACATTAGGCAATTGCTCGGGAAAGGTCATAAACAATACAAATATATGGGAAATGCTATGAAAAAATGTGCTTTTGCATGTTATCTTTTCAGGGAGGGTGATTAAAAACTACACAAGGATATGGGGAGGATCATCCCATAATATGACAAGCATTAGGGGAGGGTCATTATTTTCAGCATCAAAAACATCTGATGCTCCTTTTGTGGCTTGCAATAAATAACCAGTTCCTTAGCGCTACAATCGCTTTGTGGAACAGAACCTAGACAAAAAAATAATATCACCCCTAAGCATTTATTAATAAATAAACCCATAGAGCGACCCATACCACATGCCAAATATAGGAACACATTCAGCAACACAAATTTAGTTTTCATCTGGTTATACTGGTTGGTTACCCAAATATCTGTAAACCCCAAAAAGTGTGGCCTTATTGTTAAGCCTAAAAGAAATAATAGTCTTGGTTCTCAGGCACTACAAGTTTCATTTTTATTTCCATTTTAAAAAACAAAACAAAAAAATCTATAAATATTCCAAGTACAATGGTAGTCAAATACTGTATTCCAGTATAAGAAACATCAAGGAATACATTTATGTAGGGAGGCCCTTTCCCAGGTTGATTGTACACAACTGTTTATTTGCTTACACAATTGTTTATTTGGTTACTTACTTGTTTGTATAACAAAAAAAATATTAAAAAAATACCGCCATTGCCTGAGAACCAATTTCTTTTATTTTTTAAGCCTTATGTGGAGGAAAAGTTGCAACATACCGGCTCTACATCCACAAACGTCTGATGCTCAGCTCTCATTGGGTGCATGCCCTCCACGCCATTGATCACTGATTGGTCGGCAGCCAGGAAGTGAGGTTGTGACATCACCACAGGCGCTCCTGATCCCACAAACAAGCAAAGTAGTGATTGAGTTGAGTTTAATAACACTTTTTATTACTTGCCCGTGAAGAGACCACCCGTTTAATAAACATATAGCTGTATTACACATTGTGTAATACCAAAACGCGTGCTTATGTACTGCGGGAACTGGTTCACTAACAAATATTGGAAACTCCCAACATCCCTTGGCTTATTCAACGACATTGCGTGAGGAGATGCTAGATCACTGAGAGGAGCTTGTTTAAGCTCAATGACCCCAGCAACCCTGTTGCTAGGCTGACATCACATGACACTGTGTCGCCAGTGGATCTTGCAACAAAATTCCCCAAATTACGTCATCGGGTATTGTGACGTGATTGTAGACTTTCAACAAGGCGATCGTATTGTTGCGCAACAACAGTCGTAGGTTTTTGTTAAAGTATTTGAGTTACCATATGATAACCTTAGTGATACGATAACTTTGTAGAATGGATCCCTGAATTCTAATGGTGGGCCGTTGTATGGTATTAAATTAATATGTGTCAACGTTTAACATATTACTCTGTTAATAAACTCAATTTGATTATGTTGTGGATCATCTATTCATACACCAGAGTGAAATTCTAAAAAAGTTATAAATGGCAAGTGATAAATAAAATACCAAACTTGCTCCCGCGTAATACCAACACACGAGAGCTCGTTTAGTATTCTATATTATAGCTAAAATGGATAGAATTATCATTAAACCGTCCGCATGTTATCAGAAATGAGTGGGCCACTGTATAATAATGCCCTCATATTCCTTGACGACGGGACATTATCACACCCGTTTTTAGGTGACATCATAGGATAGGGATAGGTGACGTCACGTTCAATAGTGACGTCATCTGGTTTGTTCTATGACATTTCCATACTTGTAAAAGTGGGTCAGTGACATTCGCGTTGATTGCAGTAAATGTTTCAAAACCGATATTGTTGTTTCTTTTTATTTGATAACAAATTCCATCCATTTTAGCTATAATAACGGTAGCGCTATTTTTCAGGGCATTATCATTTGCAGAAGCTCCTTCGTCGGGCAGTTAATGAAAGACCTCGGGCTTTTGCAAATGATAATGCCCTGAAAAATAGCATTACCCTTATATGAACAGTATTTAAGTTACAGGAATTTACCTAGCATTCACATTTAAGTATATGTAACCTTGGTACACTAGTCATATTTTCTCAATTTCTGTGGTATTGTATTTTCAAATTGAATTCAATGTAATAATGTTAAATTGAGCATTGAAGCCTCTTCAGCTAGTCCTGTTATCACTAAACACAAGTCGCCTTGACCAAGCCATCACATTACTAACATAACATGAGAAGAGAAATTTTGTCCCATTTGGGAATTTTTGCTGACATTTCATACAGACTTTGAACACATCTCATTCAAATCTGATTTTATTATCCTACCTGTGAAATCTGAAAACACTATCCCATTACTAGGCAAAATACAACATGAAGAAATAGTGTGAGTGAGTGAGTGAGTTGGATTTAACGCCGCTTTTAACAGTATTACAGTTATATCGCTGTGTGTCAGCTTAATGTGGGAGGAAAGCCCGAAGTGATGCAGGTCTTGGACGTTTACCACTTCAGTGAAACCCACGAGCATGGGTATGGTGCTGACAAACCTAGAAACATAATCGGGATTCGAACCCACAATCATAGGTTTCTGGTGTGCCCAAGGGACACAATTCTGCACAGCAAATCGCGGCGCCTTAGACGACTGGGCCACCCGTGCCCCCTGAAGAAATAGACTTAGAACACCGGGATAATATAAAACAAGGACCATCAGCACTTTGTTTGCATAATAGATTCTAATAAATCTAACATATCTCACTTGACAAATGATAATACTTCCATTAAATGAATAGTAGGCGATTCCATATAAGACATCTTCAAAGAAAGAATTGATTTCATAATGTACGTAGAACCAATATACTATATTCATAAAAAATTGAAACCAACCGTGTAACATCAGTGAGAAGACATACTGTGCCATGGCATATTACTTATAGTAATATGAAAGAGTGAGTGAGTGAGTTTGGTTTTACACCGCTTTTAGCAATATTCCAGCAATATCACAGCGGGGGACACCAGAAATGGGCTTCACACATTGTACCCATGTCGGGATTCGAACCCGGGTCTTCGGCGTGACGAGCCAATGCTTTAACCACTAGGCTACCCGACCGCCCCTAATATGGAAGAAATGGGTGATCCTTTACTTGTTTTTAGTTGGATACATAATAAATAGAAAGTCTCATGACCTGAGAAAATAACATTTTCAATCGTGGCTGTGCAATTTTGTTGGATCACTCAGTGAGATAAACATGTTTTTTGACAAGGGTCTAAATTTTTTGTTGTTCAGGAGGATGGAAAATATAAATGAACATGTGCTGACCTTGTCGGCAGGCGCTGACGTTGAGTAGGCCAGAAGGGAGGCAGTTGCCCGGAGGGGTGCAGAAGCCAGCATTGTCAGGGTTCAAGGTCACGTTCAGAAACGTGGAGTCTGGTGCCACAAAACTTGCCAAGCTGATGTCTTTGAAATCATAATCATGGTTGAATTTCACGTCCAAGGACCTGAAGTGCAGTAGAGAGTCAGTCAGAGGGATGAACGTCAAGTGCGTGCAAACGAGAGAATTAGTCGCTGCTTGTACCAGTCTGGACTTATGCCCGTTTTATAGTAGGAGCCTGCTGCCATAAAGGGTCAATCGTTCTAGGTGGTGAGGTGAAATGGGGTTTTAGGTCACGTCCAAGATTATTGCACTTATATAGGGACGTGCATTGTGTGTGTGTATGTGTGTGTGTGGCTGCTTGTACCGGCCGGACTGATGCTGATTTATAGTGCTAGCACACTGAGATACCATGCCGCAGTTTAACATGAACACCCCACTCAGACACAGTATACTGACTCCGAGCAGACCAGTCCTTGTTTTAGCCCCTGAATGCCGAGCGCCAGTCAGGGTAACAAGAAGTACCATCTTTTAACGTCTTTTGGTATGACGCAACTGGGGATCAAACTCCAGACCTTCCGCTCTCCGGGCGGACGCTCTCCCATTAGACCATGGAGGCTGCCGTCAATGGTTCTAGCCCACTGAGATACCATGGTATTCCATGTTGGTTGCGTTAGTGTTGGTGTTGTTGTTGGTGTTGGTGTTGGTGTTGGTGTTGTTGGGTAACTACATGGTGTAAAGGTTACGCAAGTCTAATAGTATTCACCCGTGAAGAATGGGTCTTCAGCAACCCATGCTTGCTGTAAAAGGCAATGATGCTTGTTGTAAAAGGCGACTAACAGGATCGGGTGGTCAGGTTCGCTGAATTGGTTGATGTATGTCATCGTATCCCAATTGCATGGATCAATGCTCATAATGTCAATCACAGGACTATCTGGTCTAGACTCTATTATTTACAGACCACAGTCATATAGCTGGAATATTGCTGAGTGCTGTAAATAATATGGAATATTGCTGATAAAAGTGGGAAAAAATCCTCTGCAAGCCTCAGAGTTTTCCCACTTTTATCAACTCGTGTTGATATATTTGATATTAAAATACACTCGGGTGAGATTCTCTATATGCTGCACATAATTACCAAACTTCACACGCTAATCCTGCACGAGAAAAATGGTGCATCTCGTGTCATGGGTCTATGACGTCACATGTGATGCCTTCATGAGCATTGGTTCACACAACATACCAGTATGTTTCTTTGTACATCGTCCGGGGGGCACGGGGGTGTGTCCCTTGGGCACGCCAGAAACCTATGATTATGGGTTCGAATCCCGGTTCGCCCCGAATATGTTTCTAGGTTTGTCAGCACCAAAGTGGTAAATGTTTGAGACCTGCATCATTTCGGGCTTTCCTCCCACATTAAGCTGACACATTGCGATGTAACAGGGAATACTGTTAAAAGCAGCGTTAAACCCAACTCACTCACCCACTCACTTGCACATCGTCTCAATCAAATCTCTCTTGAATATGAATGAGTCTTCATATATTTACCGACATGTATTGTTTTTCGCGTTTCACGAAGGAGGAACATAGTTTATACATGCCCCTGATGATAAACAATGGCTGGTGCCATGAAACAATTTCGGACACCAACACATTTGAGAGTATCCTCACCGGCAAATGTCTGAAGAGAACAGATAGAGTGGCGCAGACTTGTCCACAAATGGAGGGAACATAGTGCCATCTGGAAATAGAGGTTTGGAATTGAAGAATTACACAAACATACTTTATCGTTTACATTAGGAACTCCCAGATCATACTCGTTTTCAGATACAGAAGACATATGTGCTACTCTAAAAGTTTTGTTCACTCGTACCAAAATTTAGAGGCTGTGATGCTTATTGGCCGAGTAGAATGTTGACTTGACACCACCTCCTATGGGGGTGTTCTCAGATCTCTACACAGAGAGGCATTGTGTCAGAGTAAAAGATCTATTCTTAATAAGATTCCCTGCTAAAATAAAATAACAAAAGTATCATATTTGCATTTTAAGCATCATTTTTAATGTTAATGAACCAGAGCAAAAATTAACTTCAAATGTCTTACCTGTGCCATTGATCATGTTTGCCGATGGAGAAGTCCAATATGGCAGATTGCTAGAAAAAGAAAACAACCAAATTAGCTGAATTCTAGATTGTTACAGAGCATAAACATTTTCCACGTTGAGCCGTATTACCTGTAGCACCAAACGGTGGAACCGAATGCCCAGCTTGAGGCTTTAATATACCACTATCTAATCTAAATACCTGCTAAAGTAACATTGTCACCACTCCACCCAGTCAAATATAAAAGCAAACTCTTTGTTGTTGGCTAAGTTAAATGAGAGGAGTATTCAGTTCAGTCCAAAGTTTAGAGTAGGTTGTCAATTTAATTTGAATTGTTAAATGCTTTTCAACAAATCATAATTGGACAAAATGACATGAGTAAGTGACCTGGATTTAACGCCGCTTTTAACAGTATTCTAGTCATATCGCGGTGTGTCAGCTTAATGTGGGAGGAAAGCCCCAAGTGATGCAGGTCTCAGACGTTTACCACTTCGGTGAAACCCACGAGCACGGGTATGGTGCTGACAAACCTAGAAACATAATCGGGGCGAAGCGGGATTCGAACCCACAATCATAGGTTTCTGGCGTGCCCAAGGGACGCAACTCTGCATAGCGAATCGTGGCGCCTTAGACGACTGGGCCACCCGTGCCCCACAAAATGACATAAATTCAAAATCACATGTTTACAAAGGAAATTTCAAAACTTATTTATATCTGTACAGCAATGGAAATTTTCTTCATTTTCTTTGGATAAGAAGCAATCATATGACATGTCAACCACAGAGATAAGCTTGAGATAGTCTTGTTTCTACTGGTCATAACTCAGGCCTTTTTCCTAAAGGATTCTCAGCCAGACACACTTCACACCCTGTCTAGGCTAATTTAAGGTCGGGTGGCCTAGTGGTTAAAGTGTTCACTCGTCACGCCCAAGATCCTGGTTCAATTCCGCCACATATGTATAAAGCCTATTTCTGGTGTCCCCACCATGATATTGCTGTAATATTGCTGAAAGCGGCATAGAATCCAACTTACTCACACTGTGACAAATAGAGCTCCAGAGCTAACATTTTGAACAAATTGAGTTTTTACTCTTTTTAACTGGGTTTTTACATTTTTCATTGGATAACCAATATTTTTTCACTCATCTATTCATCACTCTATTGGGTTTATCCCAAAATAAGTGAACATTTTAAGATTTAAAAAATATAAATAATGTTTAAGATGTATATATCTGTTGAAAAAATATATAGGCTTGACTCGGAAAGTAACTTAGCTCGTTATTGTTTTTCGGAAATTAGCTCCTTTGTACGCTTGCCGAAAAAGCTTCGCTGGGTATTTACGCGAGCTGTTTTTATACATTTGAGTTTTTCATTTAATGCATGCATTTCTGTACGCAAGTTAATAGAATGTAATTGGGTTTTTGAATATTTTTGGGGGATAATTTACGCAAATACGCTGCTTATCTGTAGCTCTGGACAAATATCACCTTTTCAGTACAACTGAACGCGGGGTGTTTTCTGCTCAGGGTCTCTAGGAGATCTGCAGCAGAACCTTATGCTTGTACTTCTGGAACATGTCACATACCTGTTGAAGTTCCAGCTCCTTATCAAAGCAAAGTGACTTGGATCTTTGACACCAGTGTTGATATTGTACACCCCATCATCAGATCCGTTTTGCTGAAAATGTGAAGGAAAAACTATATACTAGTTAGAACGCTGATAGACTGTATGAGTATCCGTTAAACCTACTGAAATCAGATCTGTTATTTTGTATGATACCTTCTGGGAGAAAGGTCTCTTCAGGGGATTTCCTAATCAGCCAATCATCATTAGTGAGTGAGTGAGTGAGTGAGTGAGATTTTATACCACTCTCAGCAATATTCCAGCAATATCACAGCGGGGGACACCACAAATGGGCTTCACACATTGTACCCATGTTGGGAATCGAACCCAGGTCTTCGCCGTGATGAGCGAACGCTTTAACCACTAGGCTACCTGACCGGCCCCCATCATCATTAAGGCTCCAAATTTCTCAGAACAAGCAAGTGACACACTCAGAGTGGCATATCTGATTTCTGTATCTTGAAAACAAATATAAACAGTCAGTCAGAATAGAAACCAGTAAATATCGCAAAGGATATTATTGCTTTAGATATTTAGCCTTGGAGCACCATGGCTTCTATAACTACAAGAAAGTACTTTCGATGGAACTGGCATTCTGTGTGGGTTTGCTTTTGTCGGGGTAAAAATTGCGAACTGATGTGAAAAAAGAAATGAATTTGTTGTCGAAAGCTGACATGTGACTGACCCAATAACCAACGCATCCTTACTTAGATTTGGAGCCAGAGTTGGCTCAGGGTAACATCAGGTGACCTATGGAGGTCAAGCAGGTATCGTATCGGAGCAAAAGATCTGTCCTCCAATCCAAATGTCAACCTGTCACACTCAAGGAATCTGATTACAGACCAGTTCAGTTACAGACCAGTACAGTAACAGACCAGTTCAGTTACAGACCAGTTCAGTTACGGACCAGTTCAGTTACGGACCAGTTCAGTTACAGACCAGTTCAATTAAAGACCAGTTCAGTTACGGACCAGTTCAGTTAAGGACCAATTCAGTCACAGACCAGTTCAGTTACAGACCAGATCAGTTACAGACCAGTTCAGTTAAAGACCAGTTCAGTTACGGACCAGTTCAGTTACGGACCAGTTCAGTTACGGACCAATTCAGTTACGGACCAGTTCAGTTACAGACCAGATCAGTTACGGACGAGATCAGTTACGGACCAGTTCAGTTACAGACCACGTTGCATTCAGTTACAGTCCAGGATGCCATTGTACAAAGCGGACTGATGCCGATTTACAGGGCTCGCCGCCTGAGATACCATGCCGCAGCTTCAAATGAATACCCACTCACACACAGTATACTGACTCCGAGCCGACCAGTCCTTTTTTCAGCCCCAAGTAGCATCTTTTAACATCTTCTGGTCGCTCCGGGCAAACGCTACTGTTGGATAGTCACCACACAGTACCAGTGACTGAGTTACCAATATGACTCCCATATCACGTATGCCATGAATGGTATCGCTGTCATTCACTGAACCCTGTGTTCAGTATATGAAAGCTTGAACCACGAGGCTTCTCCATCACCCTGGCTGCAGGATGCCACAGATGTCACAGTTGTCACAGATGTCATTACAGCAAAGTAAGCTGCTTTTGAAAAGTGAGTGAAGTTTAATGCTGCTATGAACAATATTTCTGTTTTATCATGGTTTGTCAACATAATGCCGTGGAAAAAATCCAGAACTGATGTAGATCCTAGACGTTCACTAGTTTGGTTAAACCCACAAGCATTAATATGGTGCTGACAAAACAATAATTTTGTATTCAGGGCACATCATGGATTCATCGAATTATTCTCAAGTTATTGAGCTCCTAAAGGAACTCCAGCACCTACGACGGACAGCACTAACCATGAACCCAAGTTTAATGACGCAATGACGAAGACATATTATCCTACATTTTAGAAGAGACCGAAGTGGTCATCAAGGATCTTGCTGAATTTTTGGATTGAACCCATTACCCTAAAGTTATTGTGCTCCTAAAAAAACTGCAGCACCAACGACGGACAGCGCCAACCATGAAACCAATTTTAAAGAAGCAATGACGAAGACATATTATCCTACATTGTAGAAGAGGCCGAAGTGGTCATCAATGGTCTTGTTGATAGTGCGCTGTAAGATTTCATCCACATCCTTCAGCAGCTTATCTTCGTACCCCCACAGGATGTCGGCCACGGAGAGATTCAGGAACAGTGTCTCCCCGGCCCCCTCCAGTATCAAGTCAGCCAGCTCCTGGATGAAGCCGTACTCAAAACGAATCATGTTGGCAATTGTCTGAAACATATGAGGAGATCACATGTTAGTGAGTCAGCGATAGGAGTGGCAGCTGTTTTGTCACATTACTACATTACTTAAGTCACAGGGGACAGTCGGGTAGCCTAGTGGTTAAAGAGTTTGCTCGTCACGCCGAAGACCCGGGTTCGATTCCCGACATGGGTACAATGTGTGAAGCCCATATCTGTTGTCCCCCGCCGTGATATTACTGGAATATTGCTAAAAGCGGCGTAAAACCATACTTACTCACTCACTACTTAAGTCACATCACAAGAAATCTCCAACATGTTCACATGTCTGGGGAACCTTGTCAAGCAGGACTTGAGCAGAGAAGCAGGAAAGGCAAGAGTGGAGCAGATAAATAAGTACAGCATTAGAGGAGCAGATAAATATGTACAGCATTAGAGGAGCAGGGAAATATGTACAGCATTAGAGGAGCAGGGAAATATGTACAGCATTAGAGGAGCAGAGAAATAAGTACAGCATTAGAGGAGCTGATAAATAAGTACAGCATTAGAGGAGCTGATAAATAAGTTCAGCATTAGAGGAGCAGATAAATATGTACAGCATTAGAGGAGCAGATAAATAAGTACAGCATTAGGGGAGCAGGGAAATAAGTACAGCATTAGAGGAGCAGATAAATAAGTACAGCATTAGAGGAGCAGATAAATAAGTACAGCATTAGGGGAGCAGGGAAATATGTACAGCATTAGAGGAGCAGATAAATATGTACAGCATTAGAGGAGCAGGGAAATATGTACAGCATTAGAGGAGCAGATAAATATGTACAGCATTAGAGGAGCAGGGAAATAAGTACAGCATTAGAGGAGCAGGGAAATATGTACAGCATTAGAGGAGCAGATAAATATGTACAGCATTAGAGGAGCAGATAAATATGTACAGCATTAGAGGAGCAGGGAAATAAGTACAGCATTAGAGGAGCAGATAAATAAGTACAGCATTAGAGGAGCAGATAAATAAGTACAGCATTAGAGGAGCAGATAAATAAGTACAGCATTAGAGGAGCAGATAAATAAGTACAGCATTAGAGGAGACGATAAATATGTACAGCATTAGAGGAGCAGGGAAATATGTACAGCATTAGAGGAGCAGATAAATATGTACAGCATTAGAGGAGCAGATAAATATGTACAGCATTAGAGGAGCAGATAAATAAGTACAGCATTAGAGGAGCAGATAAATAAGTACAGCATTAGAGGAGCAGGGAAATATGTACAGCATTAGAGGAGCAGATAAATAAGTACAGCATTAGAGGAGCAGATAAATAAGTACAGCATTAGAGGAGCAGATAAATAAGTACAGCATTAGAGGAGCAGATAAATAAGTACAGCATTAGAGGAGCAGATAAATAAGTACAGCATTAGAGGAGCAGATAAATAAGTACAGCATTAGAGGAGACGATAAATATGTACAGCATTAGAGGAGCAGGGAAATATGTACAGCATTAGAGGAGCAGATAAATATGTACAGCATTAGAGGAGCAGATAAATATGTACAGCATTAGAGGAGCAGATAAATAAGTACAGCATTAGAGGAGCAGATAAATAAGTACAGCATTAGAGGAGCAGGGAAATATGTACAGCATTAGAGGAGCAGATAAATAAGTACAGCATTAGAGGAGCAGGGAAATAAGTACAGCATTAGAGGAGCAGATAAATATGTACAGCATTAGAGGAGCAGGGAAATATGTACAGCATTAGAGGAGCAGATAAATAAGTACAGCATTAGAGGAGACGATAAATATGTACAGCATTAGAGGAGCAGGGAAATATGTACAGCATTAGAGGAGCAGATAAATATGTACAGCATTAGAGGAGCAGATAAATATGTACAGCATTAGAGGAGCAGATAAATAAGTACAGCATTAGAGGAGCAGGGAAATAAGTACAGCATTAGAGGAGCAGATAAATATGTACAGCATTAGAGGAGCAGGGAAATATGTACAGCATTTGAGGAGCAGATAAATAAGTACAGCATTAGAGGAGCCGATAAATATGTACAGCATTAGAGGAGCAGGGAAATATGTACAGCATTAGAAGACAGGGAAATATGTACAGCATTAGAGGAGCAGATAAATATGTACAGCACTAGAGGAGCAGATAAATATGTACAGAATTAGAGAAGCAAGGAAATATGTACAGCATTAGAGGAGCAGGGAAATATGTACAGCATTAGAGGAGCAGATAAATATGTACAGCATTAGAGGAGCAGATAAATATGTACAGCATTAGAGGAGCTGATAAATAAGTACAGCATTAAAGGAGCAGGGAAATATGTACAGCATTAGAGGAGCAGATAAATATGTACAGCATTAGAGGAGCAGGGAAATATCTACAGCATTAGAAAAGCAGATAAATATGTACAGCATTAGAGGAGCAGGGAAATATGTACAGCATTAGAGGAGGAGGAAAATATGTACAGCATTAGAGGAGGAGGGAAATATGTACAGCATTAGAGGAGCAGATAAATATGTACAGCATTAGAGGAGCAGATAAATAAGTACAGCATTAGAGGAGCAGGGAAATATGTACAGCATTAGAGGAGCAGATAAATATGTACAGCATTAGAGGAGCAGGGAAATATGTACAGCATTAGAGGAGCAGATAAATATGTACAGCATTAGAGGAGCAGATAAATAAGTACCATCAAGGATATATTGACTGCTATACCTACAAACATGGGTATATTGACTGCTATACCTACCACCAAGGGTATATTGACTGCTATACCTACCACCAAGGGTATATTGACTGCTATACCTACCACCATGGGTATATTGACTGCTATACCTACCAACATGGGTATATTGACTGCTATACCTACCAACATGGGTATATTGACTGCTATACCTACCACCAAGGGTATATTGACTGCTATACCTACCAACATGGGTATATTGACTGCTATACCTACCACCAAGGATATATTGACTGCTATACCTACCACAAAGGGTATATTGGCTGCTATACTTACCAACATAGGTAAATTGACTGTTATACTTACCAACAAAGGTAAATAGACTGCTCTACTTACCAACTTGGGCAAATTGACTGCTATACATACCAACATTGGTAAATAGACTGCTATACTTACCAACTTGGGCAAATTTACTGCTATACATACCAACATGGGTAAATTGACAGCTATACATACCAGCATGGGTAAATTGACAGCTTTATCTACCAACATGAGTATATTGACTGCTATACATACCAACATAGGTAAAGTGACCACTATACAGACATAGATGTGGTGAAGGTGTCTAGCTGTTATACCTACCAACATTGGTAAGTTGACGGTGGTGAATGTCTCGGACTCCGGACCCGCCGACATATGGCGCTTGAACTCGAACGACCGGTCTTCCCGATATGTCACTGTGTCGTTGTCATTGAATGTAATATTCACCTTCCCACGGTGCTCCCTGTCGCCGACACAAAAAATGTTTTTCACAATCGTGAGGAACATTCAGTTATATATAAGGGTTATCAGTAGCATTCTCAAATCAAAATGCTAGGGCAATATTCATGGCAGTTGTCAATCATACAAAAAACGTTTATTGTGTTCATGACAGTTTCCTATGTAAATCTGTGTTCTGATAACAGTTTGCAGTCTGTCAATACTTTCAAAGAGGCTGTCTTTACAGGCATCAGGCTCACTGAGATCAGATCTGTTACTCTGATACTATGCCTCTCTGCATGCCGATCTCACAAAACCTTCCCTGGAGGTCAAGTCAGATGAACCTTTACCAAACCTTAACTGCCCAACAGCGATAGAAACTAACATTTTTAATCTACTTGTCCTCTTAATGATAACTTGTGCTATGTCACGTGACTTTCATTGACTCAGAAAAGGCATGCAGCTTTTTTTCCGAACACACTGTCCAAGGCAGGATTCATAGTATTTCATCAAGAACACGTGGACCAATCAAATCTCATCATTCTGACATGGAGGTGTGATAATAATTTTTTTTATCAAAAATCTGAAAACAAGAGTTTGCCACTAACGTGGCTATATCCCCCTCCCCTGTTGCAGAATTAATGACATAATTAAATCTAAACAAACCCTAACCTTTTTTAATTGGGTAGAACTTGTCATGGAAATTGTAAAAAAAAGAAGAGTTTGGAACCAAAGTCCATCTTGCTGCGATGGAAACGTAAAAAAAAAAAAAAATTCTAAAATTTCTAAATAGCAAAAGGCACCAGTTCAGCATGTACCTGACAAACCTGCAAAGTTTGATGAAAAAATATTGAACGGTTTATGAGTTATGCTCCGGAATCGAACCCTACCCTCACAGAACCTAAGTCCATCTTGTTGCCATGGAAATGTAAAAAATAAAAATTTCTAAAATTTCTAAATAGCAAAATGCTCCAGTTCAGCATGTACCTGACAGACCTGCAAAGTTTGATGAAAAAATATTGAACGGTTTATGAGTTATGCTCCGGAAACGAAACTTTGTTGGGCGGGGGATAATAAAAGTTTCTGTTCATATAAACTATATTAGCACAGCTCCTACCAAACTGGGATGGAGGGGTAGCCTAGTGGTTAAAGCTTTCGCTCATCATGCTGAAGGCCTGGGTTCGATACCCCTGGGTACAATGTGTGAACCCCATTTCAAGTGTCTCTCCGATATTGCTGGAATATTGCTAAAGGCGGCATAAAACCCAACTCACTCACTCCTGCCAAACATCTGGTGTTGTGTGCTGGTTACCTGTATGTATAAGGTCCTTTCTGTACGACAGATGGGCGTTTCCCCTGACTGACAACCTCGTCATGGTTGATTACATCCAACACCCACACTTGAAAGTAGATTGGCACCGGTGGGTCCAACCAATCATTGTAGGTCTCTGACCCCTCTTTCAGATTCACTTGCTGCAAGAAGATAATGTCACCTGAGGAATAATTACTCACAACTGTTTTACTAAGGCTTAAAAAAATAAAAGAATTGGTTCTCAGGCAATGAATTTTGAAAATATAATGCAGGCGGGTGGTGGTTGTTTTTTTAGGCTTGTTTGGTTGTTTATTTGTTTGCTGAACGACACACTCAGAAATATTACAGCTACATGATGGCGGTCTGTAAATAATCGAGTCTGGACCAGACAAACCTGTGATTGACATCATGAGCATCGATCCATGCAATTGGGATATGATGACATGCATCAACCAAGTCAACGAGCCTGGCCACCCGACCCTGTTAGTCGTCTCTTACGACAAGCATAGTCACCTTTTACAGCAAGCATGGGTTGCTGAAGACCTATTCTACCCAGAATCTTAACGGCTTGTTCAAACTAGTATGTAACCAAATAAACAGTTGTGTACCATCAACCTGGAGAAGGGCCTCCCTACGCCATTACTCGTATTTCGTTTGTTGTAAGTTAGTGTTTCACATTAACCATTCCGTGTTTTTGCTTCCTCATGAAACGTCTGAGCTTCCACCAAGTGTAACGGAGCAGCGGTGTTTGTCTTTATTGACGTGAAGCAGCGCGGTCTAACCCACACAAGAAGAGAAGAGTTCAACACAACGAGCATCTTTAACACTGCTCACCTTCATATACACACACAAACAGCCATTAATCACGCTGTAACTGAATGATACAGCTCGCTTCTTAGCTACGCTCAATGTAAGTTTGTCTGTCAAGAGTTACCTCCCTTCCATCGAACATCGCATCAAATAAACAAGCATACACACTCCTATTGCCGCCATGACCATAACACGAAATGCACAGTAAAGCAGTGTGCATGTAAAGGGAAGTAACTGCATGCTATTTTGGATTGCATTGTTTTATAGTATTAGGATTTTTTTTAAATTGAAATAAAAAAGAAACGTGCTGCAGACTTTATAATGAAGCGGGCATTGCCTGAGAACCAAGAGTATTATTTTTTTTTATCCTAAACTTTCTTTGAAGATGTCAGGATCTTCTCTGATTTCACTCAGTTCCAGTCTACCTAAACAAGATGGTGGCTAATTCCTCACAGGCTGTGATTGGCTGACACAAAATACAGCATTCATGGGTACTTAAAATTGATACAGAATAAAATCAAATAGCAGACAGTGGTTTTGTGAATCAATTTGGTCTCCAACTTAACATCACAGGGGTAGACGCAACTGGTCATATCCAAGTAGCCAAGAGCTCATTTCAGACTTATGGCTGTGTAAAATATGGATTTGGGGATATACCAACTTGTCTCTCTAGATTTTCACTAGTCTAACGGACTAGTGGTTATGTCTATAATTGCATCACTACAATCTCATTAAAATCAGATCTAAGATCTGGGGACATCCCATTACAGGTCACGTCAGGACGACCCCTGTAAACTTTGACCGATGACTGAAATGACTAACAAGAAGTCCACATCAGCAAATTAGAAAGCAGCTTTCTTGAGCTTTATGTCACTCGTTTCAACTTGGCGAATTCCATTTCTGTCTATGCTTGAAAAATATATTGACACAGTTCTCGATAAATAGTTTGAAAACTGAACAAACCAACATTCCGGAATGTCTAATATATGGTTGAGAGTTATGGCAGTGCTTCCTACGTACTGTAACTGTCGTTCGGAATACCCTGTGTTAACGTTTCTGAGGTTGCATGATAAGAAAATACATTCCGTCACTATCATGATCTGGTAAGCGACGCTTTGATTGGTCGGATGAAAGGTCGTTCTTACATGACCCGTAATGGGATATTCTCAGATCTTTGTTTAGCGGCAGTGAGAACTAAGATCTGATTTTTTAATGAGACTGTGCATAACTAAAGCAGTTTGATACACATTTATAAGGCCCAAACTCTCTGAATGTAGACAGAACTTCATGTTTACTAACAATCAAAGTAAAGGATGCCCCATATACACATCTGTGCCGGATGATACGGTTCTATACCCAGGGTTATACGCTACACATGTACACAAATGTAGGTCCAGTAGGCACACATGTTGAGAACAGACGCAGAAAAAGAATATACAATTCAATAACGTTCATTGTACCTGGAGCACATCAAGAGCAGTTGGCATCTGTCATTTCATCTATCAATAATGACCAGTGTCCACATGATCATTGATTCACTCCAGGCTCTAAAGTAATTATAAAACGTACAGTACACTACACCATTTCATTATTTCATTACTTTATGGCACCCTCATATTGCTAGTGAGGACCCTACAATTAATTTATAGGGGTCCCTGGACCCACAGGGACCCCCGACCCCCACCTTCCCTTTTGTAAGTCACATGTACCACATATTGGGTCACAGCCGCTTGGCAAAAAGAACGTAGCTTGCTGTTCGAACTAACAGTGAAACCAGTTTCATCACAGATCTGTTTAAGGGCAATCCATCTTCTAAATTTACACCAAATCAACAGAGAGTCATTAATGTATTTTTGAATACATGATTATTTGGTATGTGTATTTTGTTCACATAACACACAGCATTATTACATATATGAAATATAACAGTTGACAGAATATATTGAAAACATCCAGGTGTCCACAATGATTCTAGAGTGCTTCATGAAATTTGAATGCATTGAAAATATTTCCTTTAAACAGATTTGTAAAATTGCACCTGTGTTGTATCAGAGACCATCTATTATATGGTCTCTGGTTGTATTTACATACATAGGCAGGTATGCTTACCATTGAGTATTTACTCACAGTATCATTCACATTGGGTATTACCGTATTCAAACGTAATAAGCGCCCCGCTCTAATAAGCTCCCACAGCGACATTTGCTAAGATATTGGCTAGTGAACAATCCCAATTAGCAACCCTTCCGATTGATCAATGTACACAAGCCTTATTTATTCGCGTATAATACGCACTCATGTGTTATATGCACCCTTAATTATGGGCAATTAAATTATGGAAAAATATATCTGTCGTACATAAATATTTCAGCATAAATAACGATATTTATCTTTCAACTGTTTTTTTCCACCAAAATAATATTCTAATAAGAGCCCCCTATTTCTTATTTTGAGAGCGCCCTTGGCGCTTATTACGTCGAATACGGTAATAGTTTTCATTGGGTACTCAATATATTTTCTATCCCTAGGGTCCAGTCTGTTGGGTATTTTTAGACCAATACTAACTAAATTTAAAATAATTCTGTTGAAAACAATTCTTTGACAGTGTTATATTCACTACAGTAGAGTTCATATCTGTGTGATGCCTGGATTCTATGAGTAAATAAAGATCTTTAAAGAAATACAGCCACACAAGCTGAAAGTGCTACATTGCGTGATGCTACTTGACTCAGTGTTGTTATCATGCTGAGCTAAACTTTTCCTGCATTTGTGTATGCAAGCAAGGCAAAATGAATAGGGTTACGGTGTTAATTCTGCATATTATACTGAAATATGCGGCTTATCTGATGCCCTACATAGCTACTATTGTGCAAATAAACATTGGATAGGATCGGTAATGTAAATATCTAAATGATGTGCACTGTGCTATGTTAACCGAGTAAGGATAAGAATTTATGGATCACTCACCGAGTAACCATGGTAACAGTAATGCATAAAAGAATAATCTATCATATTTATCTTTCTCAGGGATTGACATTAACCAAGAACGTCTTCTAGACGGAATTGTGATAACATATAGCAATACCCCTAAATTGTTTAAAATTCTTCTTAAGTACTCACAGAAATGAAAAAAAACTGTTTTTTCGATCTTAGATTTTAAATAAATGCAGTTAATATACAAAATATATAAATATTCAAACAACTCAATTAGTACTAATTGGGCCTTGGCACAAATACAGCTTATCAAAGGTCTTTTTACACGTAAAAGTGTGTAAAAATATGAACAAAACAGACTATTGTGAAACTGAGCATAACCAGGTGTTAGTAGATCAAGGTGAATGTGCATGACCTATGACACTTTGACGACAGGTGAAAACAGGTGCTTGAAACCCACGTGCATGTGATTTGTCAGTGGTTAGTGATTTGTGAGTGGCATTGTGGGATAGTGAATCATCGTCAAAATATCAGAACGTAAAAGTAACATATTCCCTTCTCAAACAACAACTTACAGGTCATTATTATTATGTACATAAACATTGCTGTTATTTTTATTGTTGTTTTGATAACTTTTTTCCAGGCTAATTTCATAATGCCTATAGCCTGTTTCTGCCATGTCAATTTGGACTTAGTTTTATTTTTGAATGTTGAAAGTGCCTACAAATTACCTCCTGTAAAGTACATTTTGTATTGAGCACTGAGATAAAACTAGCAAATCCAGACTAGTACTTTTCCAGTTGTTTTGTTAATTCGTATTTACATCTATGTAATGCTTTGTGTCGATTATTAAATCCAGCAAAACAGGTTTTTTTCATTTCCATGAGTACTTTAGCCCTTAGAGGACCTTAAACATCAACCATACTTGTCCGGCTAGTAGGCTAGTGCAAATTTCCATCTCTGTTTATTTAGTATTTTAGGCACATATGGATAAAACGTTCATCTATAATGAAACATCATAACATTAATATGTCATTATGCTACAGGAAGTGTAAAGATAAATGTTATCAATATTTGGACTCGGATTGTTAGATCTCATGATAAATGAAGGAAGAAAAATGTCCACTGAAAAATCGAAGAGGCTGTGCCCATTATGTCGTTCAGCTATAGAAAATGAAATTCATTTTACTTTTGTATGTTCTTATTATTGTGACCTAAGAAGAAAGTTTATACCAGAAGGCTATCTGTCAAATTATCCTGTACCTGCTTTTATTTCTCTTCTTTCTTCAAAAGATGATGCTGTCATATTAAAACTGGCTATATATGTTAAAAATTCAATTTCCCTCAGAAACAAACTGTTAAACATGAGTACATGTATATGTCCAAATATGTAAACTACTTATTTGTAACTCTCTTGTATATGGGCCGGAGGCCTTACATGCAATAAATATCTTTGACTTTGACTGATTTTACACTTCCCGCATCTACTGTTCCAGCTGAAACCTCAAATGAATTTATTGTAAACTATTATCCTTTCTCAATTTCAATAGACCTTCTATAATAATAGAGAATACTTAATAGACACTACTCCATAACACTCCTACTCAATAATCATCAGAAATAGGATAAGGCAACTTAGGTGAGGAGAAATGGGGTTTAACATCACGTCCAAGATTATTGCACTTATATAGCGACGTGCATGCACGTGTGTGTCTGTGACTGCTTGTACTAGTTTGGACTGATGCCGATTTATAGTGCTAGCTCACCGAGATACCATGCTGCAGTTTTAACCTGAATACCCCACTCAGACACAGTATACTGACTCCGAGCCGACCAGTCCTTGTTTTAGCCCTTTAATGACGAGCGTCAGATGGTAACAACAAGTACCATCTTTTAACGTCTTTTGGTATGACGCGGCAGGAGATCGAACCCCTGACCTTCTACTCTCCGGGCAGACGCTCTACAAATAGACCACGGAGGTGGTCTGCCACTTTAGGGCATAACCACTTTGAATATCAAATGGACAATAGGTCGGCCAATGAAACCACTTGACAAAACGTGCTTTCTTCTTTAACAAGTAGGCGTAATGGGATCAGGATAAGATCATTTACCATGGTGTGCTGACTTTGTGGTAACAATAAATTTAACTTTGAAGAAATAGTAGCTTGACAAGTTAATCACAATTTGCATATGAATGACAATATATTATGAATGATCAACTCATGCTTGTTGTGAGAGGCGACTAACGGGATCGGGTGGTCAGGCTGGCTGACCTTGTTGATGCATATCATAGCATTCCAATTGCGTAGATCAATGCTCATGATGTCAATCAATGGATTGTCTGGTCCAGACTTGATTATTTACAGACCGACGTCATAAAGCTGTAATATTGCTCAGTGTGGTGATAAACAACAAAAAAACAAATCTATAAAAACTGTTGCAACATTCACAACATTCTCCAGTGTTCGCCCTGACGCAGAAAACCTGCGTATTTGACGCAATCTATGGAGAAAATATGCAATACTATTTCTCCACTGTGTCCGTTATGATGCAGATCAGTCAGACTGTCAAAATCAATTAATTGCACTATACATTGGCAACAATAAAATTTGAAATGGACATATCCCTTGACAATAAAATACAACTGATATCACTTTTGTTTAATATTGGAAAACCTAACATCTTAATATGGTACAGCCCTACTAGGAAGCTCTCAGTTGCAGCCAATCAGAATTAAGTCTCAATAGTTGCCTAGCAGGGTTGTTGTATTTCCTGTCAGTCACTCTCAAGAACAGGTTATGTCACATCATGTAAAGAGTGATAACATTATATAGCAGTTCCCTTATCAGTCTATATCAATCTGTTATCTGCAAATATAATAACACAGCGTTAGAAATTGGCACTAGTCCTATAGTCCTTGCCAAACTGCCCAATGGTAAAGGTATCATAAGGACTAGTAGAAATTTGCCCTTTTTTAGGGTTTTGCTTTATGTTATCATTATAAGGACTAGTGGCCGAAAACTGTTAGTTTCTAACCCTGATAACAAATATTTGACATGTAATTAGATAAGCAACTTGCATAGAGTAGATAAAAACTTAAAACATGACTTAAACAGCTTGATAAAAGAAACAAGATATTATGTTTTAAATTAAAAATTAAATGCATTACGAAATCAAACATCAATTAGCAGGATTAGTATTTTGTTAACATGACCCCCTTTGAAAGACTTATGACTCCCTGTATTACATACAGCAAAGGAGTCATAATGACCCACAGTTGTAATAGGCTAGGGCAAACCTTGATCAACATTATCAATATATTTCAAGTTTTATTTTTCTATTTTTCTAAGTCAGTGTATAACCTTTTTTAGGGTGGAACAAGAGTTGATTTAGAAAAAGAAGGATAATTAAATTAGTCAATACAATTCAGAAAAACTGCTTCTGGGAGAGATATATCAAATTATGACTTCGCATCCAATAGCAATCATGTCAACCTTAGATAAAAAGATATTCCCTAGAATAGATACAAATATTGTTCAACCAAAACATCAATTTTGTAATAATATGTTCATGGTGAAAATAATTCTGAATTTTGTAACTCAATGGAAGTCATTAAATCTATTTATACCGTAACATATAAAATTTTAAAAATGACAGGATATCTATATCTCAAATCCGGATCCTAAAAGTTGCTTACTCATGCATATTAGGTAACATTTCATGAGATGTGCTTACTCACCCATGTGTGACAATATTCCTGCCTTGGTGTGGTTTTACAATTACCGTATTCGACGTAATAAGCGCCCCACTCTAATAAGCGCCCACAGCGACATTTGCTAAGATATTGGCTAGTGAACAATCCCAATCAGCACCCCTTCCGAGTGATCAATGTACACAAGACTTATTTATTCGCGTATAATATGCATTCGTGTGTTATATGCACCCTTAATTATGGGCATTTAATTCTGGAAAAATATATCTGTCGTACATAAACATTTCAGGCTGTCAGCATAAACCATGAAATTTATCTTTCAACTCTGTTTTTTCCACCCAAATAACATTCTAATAAGAGCCCCCTATTTCTAATTTTGAGAGCGCCCCAACCCAAACAGCATCAGAAAAACTATATCAATATCTCATAAAAAATGCCTATCCATAATACATACTTACGTGTTCCATAAACATAAAAAAAATTACGTATCACATACACATAATACATATTTACTTCCTCCTGTATCCCCTGCCCAAAAGTTATAAATGTATGCATTGCTGCTCAATTTGTTTACAGATATATATTTTTTTGGGGGGGGTACCTGTGGAAGTCTTACCATTAACAATGCTAAGGGTTAGTAAATAGATGTAATAGGCTAGGTTACCCTGAACCATGGACACTTAATAAGTTGGGCCCATGCCTGAACTAACAGCCCTTAACATATGAGTGAACAGCAATGGCAATCTCCACATTCAACAAGAGCCATATTGTTGTTTAAATTTTACCAACTCAAAGTACATATTAAAATTTGGTATGGATTTTTGTGTGTCCATTGTTCCCCCATTCAAATCCACAGCAAAGAATAGGAAGAATAACTGCATCACAAAGCCCTTGGATCCTTGAATGAAAATAATTGTGAACATATTTTATAGCAGCTCTTCCGGTTTTAATAATATATATCTTCGACATTAGTAATGTTGAAAATATGTCATTCGTTTCGATCGTAACCATACCCTCGGGAGCTAGTTAGGTTAGAGTGACATTGCTACTACGTATTTATCTGGGGTAGGCTATACATGATATATTTAAACATCTTTTGATAGGTGAATTACTCTGTAATACTGTACAATAGTTTGATTCAACTGCTTACAAAAATAACAACTGTCATCAAAATGAATAAACTATTTACAAACCTTTTCAATATTCGAGTGTATCAAATTCTTAAAAACGACAATAAGGGCTCCGCCAACAACCACCAACGCAACGCCCAAAACACAACAGATCGACGCACAAACTGAAGACTTGGACACCATTCTGACTCCTTCTCGTGAATGAATATGAAATGAATTAAGATATCGTCTCCTTATTCACACAATATTATGTGAACGGATTGTACGGGTTCCTGTGCACTTTGAGCTGCTTTGACATGTGATGCTGAAACAAGCTCCTCACAGCGATAGCCGTACGCGGCGCTCTCTTTACCGAGAGTGTAATGGAGGTGTCACGGGGGTGGGGGGAGCTTGATGCTGAAAAACAAAAGGGAGATAACTCTTGATTTCTAACTCTTAATACGAACCTCGAAATACACGGGTTGTGCGTCCATGGCAATGACATGGGCAAGTTACAGAATAATGGAATGGAATAAAAATGTCTGCCTCTCAGACTAGGCACTTTATTTTTGTATTATTGTTGTAATATTATATCAGTTATAATTCTAAGTACCCAATTTTAAAGTATAATATACACTTTTTTTGTAAACAGTAACAAACCATGTGTTGTTAATTGATATTAAATAATATTTGTTTGTTTTGTTAATAGATCTATTACTTTGTTATTTTAATTGTTCCAGTCACCTCGTCAATGAAGTATATGGGTCATTGGTTGCAGACTTAGACGTATAAGTCTGGAAGTTAATTTAAGGTACCGACGTTTACTACAATATCTGAAAGTTGGTATGAGATTATTAAACAGTCATACATAACTGGATATTACATTTAAAGACAATAGGTGCATGAATAAAAAATCTGGCTATTTAGCTATCACTATATTTCATCAACAACCAGACCTGTTTGTCACGGGTGGAACGAGCATTCATTGAAACAGCCATCTGCATAATGCTACCGCTGCGTCACAAGGCCATATGACACAGTTGAACCAATCAACTCAACTCGAAACAGTGCACGGGAATCACGCACGCACGAATACGGTGTTAAATGTAATATCCAGTTACAGTCAACTACGGTTATAACGAACTCAAAAGGACTACTAATTTTAGTTCGTTATAACTGTAATTCGTTATAAGCGTGTTCGTTATAACCGTAGTTAACTGTATGTATGACTGTTTAATAATCTCATACCAACTTTGACTGGAGTAGGTCCGATAGTTTTTCAGATATTGTAGTAAACGTCGGTACCTTAAATTAACTTCCAGGCTAAATGTCTGTGTGTGTATTTATGAATACATTTGTGAGTGAAGAAATGCACAATATCTGTTGCAAAGTATCAATATTGAAATATTAAAAACAATGATAATAAATACACCAAACAATATGAGTTTTATAGTCAATCTAAGCTAAATATAGTCTCTAATCATATAAATATAGGTCATTTTGACCATATAGCAGGAATATATGTTACCCCTTGGGAGCATGTGCACTGATGCAGTTACACACCTTATAGACTGTTTTTGTCAAGTTATATGAAGTCGATACTTTAAATTACATAAAATTTACTTTAATGTTATTGTTAATCACATCTGAATTGAAACCAAACTTGTTTATAAAATTTATTAATTCACTTTAATTTGATAGATAATACTATATCTTTGATGTGATGTTGAGTGTATAAAAGCTTGATGCTGGCAATAATTGACATGAAAGAAGTCCCAGTTACAGTTGTGCAGTGAACACATCACACCGGTAGACATCCTGAGGCCACATCAGCAGCATTGCAGCTTCTGAAGGGTGAGGGTCACAACTTAGGTCCCATATATACCAGCCAATACCTATTTTACTTCACAGGATTGGCCCGTGAAGATCTGTGGTAGAATAGGTCTTCAGCAACCCATGCTTGCCGTAAAAGGCGACTATGCTTGTCGTAAAAGGCAACAAACGGGATCGGGTGGTCAGGCTCGCTGACTTGGTGGATGCATATCATCGTATCCCAATTGAGTGGATAGATGCTCATGATATTGATCACTGAATTGTCTGGTCCAGATTGACATCATGAGCATCATTCCACGCAATTGGGATCGATGACATTCATCAACCTAGTCAGCGAGCCTGACCACCCGATCCCGTTTGTTGCCTTTTACGACAAGCATAGTCGCCTTTTACGACAAGCATGGGTTGCTGAAGACCTTTTCTACCCCGGATCATCACGGGTCCAGACTTGGTGACTTGGTTGAATGAGTGAGTGAGTTGGGATGACACCACTTTGAGCAATATTCCAGTAATGCCACAGCAGGGGACACAAGAAACGGGCGGTGATTTGGTTGATCTGTTCCATGTCAGCCCAATCTCATTAAAATCAGATCTTAGTTCTTGCTACCGCTAAACATAGATCTGAGGATATCACATTACGGGTCATGTCAGACCGACCTTGCGCGAACTTTGACCGACCAATGGAATGACCAATCAGAAGGCTGCTTTCTCATGCTTTACGGCACTAATTTCAAATTGGCGGCTACGCTTCGAAACATTTTTTGACAAATTCTCGATTAAAAATTTGAAACCTGAACAAAAGAAAATTGTGGAATGGCTAACAGATTGGCTGGATTGTATGGATTCAGTCGTTAAACCCGTAACTATCGTTCGGAATAAAGTTTTCGAGGTTGCATGACTAGAAATCACATTCTGACTGTCACTTTCATAATCTGGTAAGCGACGCTCTGATTGGTTGGATGAAAGGTCGTTCTGATGTGACCCCTAATGGGATGTCTTCAGATCTTTGTTTAGCGGTAGTGAGAACTAAGGTCTGATTTTAATGAGATTGCTGTCAGCCTGGGGGAGGTGGGGGACTCCGCTCCAGACACTCTCCACTCGAACATGGAGGCAGTTCGACAGCTTGGGACGTTGCTCATAATATCAATCACTGGTTTGTCTGGTTCCGACTTGATTATTCACAGGCTGATGTGTCACAGCTGAGTGTGGCAAGAACATAAATACATTTGTACACAAAACTCATTTGCCTTTCTTAAAATCATATGCTTGTCTTCTGATGTGGCTCCATCCATCCGGGATCTGTAGCAACAAAAAGTCTTCTGACTTGGTGAATAATTAAACCGAGGCATTGTTTAAATTGTGTATCTGTTTTATTCAAGCAGTAACACATCCAGACATCTACTGACTAGATCCATGAAATACATGCAACTGTATGTAACCATGTATTTGATTCATCAATTATGTTAAAAGTTTCAACAATAAGAATGTAAATAACAATCTGATTATATATAGAAACCATCGTGCAAAGGTTTCATGATTCACACCATGTCAAACTAAACCACAAAGTAATCAACTTTATGTATCATTTTAAATCATTTTTTATATGAATAACCTGTCAGTGTAAATATTCAGTTACATCTCTCTAAAAAAGACTAAACATTCTCGATGCTGTCACCTACGTGCAGGAAATAAAATCCAAATTCCAAACAACTAAAACAATACCGTATTCAACATAATAAGCGCCCGGGGCGCTCTCAAAATTAGAAATAGGGGGCTCTTATTAGAATATAAGTTTGGTGAGAGAAAAAAACAGAGTTGAAAGATTGTAAATTTCGTAGTTATGCTGACAGCCTGAAATGATACAAAAGAAATGTATGTGCGTATCATACACGACAGATATATTTTCCAGAAATTAATTGCTCATAATTAAGGGTGCATATAACACGAGTGCGTATGATACACGAATAAATAAGTCTTGTGAACATTGATCAATCGGAATGGGTGCTAATTGGGATGGTTCACTAGCCAATATATTAGCAAATATCGCCATGGGTGCTTATTAGAGCAGAGCGCTTATTATGTCGAATACGGTAGTAATAAAACTATTACAAATAGAAACACGATCATAACACTTCAAATGGAACTACTTCAATGAAATATTTAGAGAACAAAATCTACTGCAACCATTATGATTCTATCCAGCATTTGGGGAACCTTGTAAAATGGATCATCATTGGTACTTTTTTAAAAGTCTGTTTTACTATCATGATAAGCAATTTTGATGCCTGTTTTTGTCAACTGACACACATATGAACAGATGAACTGAATTGGTTTTTAACACTCCTCTGAACTAGATAACGTGTATCTTTTGTCATCACGTCAATGCTTTTACAAGACCTCTTACAAAAAAAAGCATAGCTCTATGTGAAACCATGTGAACTGTACCTGTATTTTACAAAAACGAAAACTTACTTACTTGAATAGAGTTTCCAAAAACATATTACATGTATTATCTTTTTCTACAAGAGAAAAGTTAATCAATACTTCACAGGCCTGTATACAATATGTTCATCCATTACATCGTCAATACTTTAAAGGATAGTATACACAACATTCCTCCATCTGTGAATAAATGTTGCTGCTGTGTGACACTTAACTAATAAAGTCACAGCAAGAGGGGTGTAGAGAGAACAAAAATCAGCTCAAAGAGGTTCAGAAACAAACTTCATGTTGAATGATATATGAGAACATTTTCTATAGTAAAAAATTACAAACTGAAATTGACATTTGACAAAAATGTTTGTTTGTTTTTTAACTGACAAGAAATTCACTTCTTGTCAAGCATTCCTGTTGAATAAAGTTTGATAAAGATACAGCCACATCCTTCAGCCATCGGCTCCACATGTAGCAGGTCATGGGAGTGTTCACTAAAGGTTCAATCTCATTAAAATCAGATCTTAGTTCTCGCTACCGCTAAACAAAGATCTGAGGACATCCCATTACGGGTCACGTCTGAACGACCTTTCATCCGACAAATCAGAGCATCGCTTACCAGATTATGAAAGTGAGTCGGAATGTGATTTCTAATCATGCAACCTCGAAAACTTTAACATGGGGTATTCCGAACGATAGTTACAGGTTTAACGACTGAATCCATACAATCTAGACCACATATTTGCCATTCCAGAATGTTCTTTTGTTCAGGTTTCAAATTTTTAATCGAGAATTTGTCAAAATATGTTTCGAAGCATAGTCGCCAATTTGAAATTAGTGCCGTAAAGCACAAGAAAGCTGCCTTCTGATTGGCTAATGCCGACTTCTTGTCAGTCCTTCCATTGGTCGGTCAAAATTCGCACAAGGTCGGTCTGACATAACCCGTAATGGGATGTCCTCAGATCTTTGTTTAGCAGTAGCAGACTAAAATGACATGAAATGGTGGCCAGATCAATTCCTAGGTGATGGCAGAATATTGTCTATATAAGCCTGTGAAGTATCAACAGTGATGACTGTGTTGCCCTAGCTTGTTTGA